CCCCAACCCCAACCCCAACCCCAACCCCAACCCCAACCCCAACCCCAACCCCAACCCCAACCCCAACCCCAACCCCAACCCCAACCCCAACCCCAACCCCAACCCCAACCCCAACCCCAACCCCAACCCCAACCCCAACCCCAACCCCAACCCCAACCCCAACCCCAACCCCAACCCCAACCCCAACCCCAACCCCAACCCCAACCCCAAAATTATGAATATTTTTTTTAACTTGAAATAACAAAATAGTTTATTAAAAAAAAAATGATTTGCTTAAGTCTTATTTTAATATAAAAACATTAAAATATTTAAATTTAAATATATTAAGTTATCTATTTTAAATATTTAACATTTTTTCAGCTTGGTAAAAAATATAACTATATAAGAGGAAAGAATAGCTTAACACTTGTTTATTTTATATTAAATAGAAGAAATTTAAGTCTTTAAAAAAACGTTACAATTTCTAAATATAGGCTGTAATAAAATTTATGAAGATAGGCTGGCTGTAAACTCTCTTTTAAGAAGAAAACAATAGTAGGCAATGATTTTATTTAATTGTATTTTATTCAAAATTATTAGTGTGATACTAATTAATTGGGAGAGATAAGAATCAAATGAAATAATTATTTTATTACTACCAAGTATATATATCACCTTATGATCTTACTAATAAATTATGTATTTTATCAGAATTTTAGTTTAAAATTTGATGAAAAATTTTATAAAATTGTTAAAATTAATTAAAATATAAAATAAATTTAAATTTAAGTTTTGTTGAAAAATAACTCAAAAATGCCTAGAAGAGGAGGAATTCCTTTCGGAATGTCGCTTTAATAAGAATATGAAGTTGAAAAAATTATCAAGACTAAGTATGATGATTAACTCAGAACAAATCTTTATCTTGTGAAATGGAAAGGCTATGCAGATCATTTAAATACTTGGGAACCTGAATGGAATCTTGAGAACTCCAAAGAAATTCTGAATGACTTTAAGAAGAAGTAAAATTTTTTTCTTTAATTTATTTTAGTAAAATTTTTTATGTAATTAGAAACAAACATTCCCTTAACTAAAATGAAGATGAGTAAGGTAATTAATCTGATAGTAGTAGTAATTCTTAGGAAGAAGATTACTAGCCTATTAAGAAAGCTCCTAAAAAAAAAACAAATAAAAGAAAAAACGATGAAAATTCTGTAAGTACCAGAAGGTCAAACAAGAAACAGCATAACGAGGTTAGTGAAGTATCTGATGAAAGACAGAAAAAGCAAAACGATGCTGAAGAATCACAAAAGTACACTAGATTCTTATCAAAAGGAAGAGCAAAGTATGTTATCAAAAAATTCTTTAAAAATAATTCTGGTGTTTGGATGATAGATTTCTAGTAATAGTAGCTAGGAAATGTCATTAATATGTGCAAGAACATTGATGAATCTCTTGAATACTTAGAACCTAAGTTAATTATCACGTACCTTTTGTAAAAATTTGAACCTAGCAGTCAAAGCTGAATATATTATAAAAAATACTCTTTTACAAATACCTATAAAATTTAAACAGTTAATAAATTAATTATATATACCTTGTGAAAAATAAATGATGCATTTATTACTTATTAGTATTTATTTATATAATTAATATTTGAATGATAATTTTTACCTTTTTGTTGAAATTTATTTTTTTAGAATTTATTTAATTAATTAGAAATTTCTGTTGGTCAGATTAAAAATAATTTTAAATAAAATAATCTCTTTTTATTTTTTATAAATATTAAGATTTTAATTAATTAGGTAAAATAAAAAAATTAATAAAAAAACAAAATGCTAAGTATTGCTTTGATAAAGTTAGAATAAAACTGCTTTGAAGTTAAAAGAATTGCTGATGATATGCAATAGTAAGTTGAGTAAGTAAAAAGTAGCTATAAGATTATATAAATAAATAGAGACCTCAAGACAGCATAGCTTTCAAAAGATTAAATGCAGAATATACTATTAGAATTCTAGCAAAAGCTGAGTTATTTGGAATGCATGATGAATCAAATTATGGGATTAAAAGATATATTTACTTTTAATTTAAATCAACTATTAGAATCAGAATTGAATGATAGCTAAAAGAGTTACAACTAAAAGAGTCCGAATGTCCATATAGAGTATTACTTGGAGAGAGATTAAAAATAAAATTAAAATGATATTAAAATTGAAGAAAATCAATTTGATGATAATAAAATATTTTATTCTTCTTTCTCCTCTTCTAAAAAGAAAAGTAATAATGATTCAATTTAAAAGGAGCAAACTGATCAAAAAAATTAAGATGAATAAGTGCAAGAGTTCGATGATGATTACTTATTTGAAAGTGGGAGTAAATTACCTTAAGATACTCAAAAACCTAATTTAAATTTAAATGAAAATGAATAGTATTCTCATCTTAATTTATTCAATCGTAAGATTGTTAAGAAACAACCTTACAAAGTCCCAGAAAAAATTCTTGATGAAAAAATTTAACACTATAGTATAAAAAATTTGTATGATGCTAATGTTTTTGACATGGATTAGAGCAAGTTGAGAAAGTAAAAAGATAATAAAAAATTTTCAAATGATTCGATAGCTCAATGCATAGATTACTTGTAAAAAAATAAATAAATTGATTGGGGAAAAGTTTATGAAAGTTGGAGATAGTTAGAATAAATATCAAAAATGAAAATTCCTAACTATTTTTACACAGCAGATTTTAGAAATAACTTAAAAATTAAAGGAGTCACATCAAATCTTTCAAAGTAGGAGATTCTCGATCTTTTTGAATTATCTAAACTTTTTAGGAGCCAATCAGCTTTTTCAAAATTTTTATAGCTTTCTAGAGATTAAATTGGCAAAATGTTTAAGAGAAAACTCGGGGTAAAGTTAGTTGAGTAAAAATCAATTTTCTAATGTTTCAATTAAAAATGAGATTAAAATAAATATGATGACCCTATATATAAATTATATAAAAATAGAAAAAGTATCTGATATCCTTCTAATATTTAGAATAATTAGTTAATTCATAAATTAATTTCCAAAAAAGCTTAAGAATTCTTAAATAATAAATTTATATTTCAATCCTTTAAATTGTTTTCAAATATGAAATAGCTAGAAAATTATTATTTATTGAATTATCAAAAATTTATTAATCGGTCCAATAGAAATTATAACAAATATTTTTTGTTGTTTTGCAGTAATATAATTTATAATTTCATTAAACAAAAAATATTTCTCTTTATTTTTTATTTTATTTTTCTTCTTATTTTTCATTTTATTTTTAGTGTTTTATTAACTAATTCAAGAGTTTCATACAAAAACATTTATTTTTTATCAAAATTTAAATAGATTATTATTTATTTACTTGTCAAATGTTTATTTTAATTAATTTAATTTACTTTATTTTTATAAAATTATTTTATTTGATAAAAAATTAAAAAAAAGAAGTAAAAATAGTTAATATCATTTTAATTGAAATTTGAATAAAACAGAAACAATCACTCACTGCTTTTTTTAAGCTATTTTGGTTAAATTTTATTTAAAGCTAATAGTTTTATAAAATATACTTAAAATGTAATGTGAATATGTTTTGCTAACTTTATGAAATAAAATTAGGTCAAAGTAATAAGTTAAATAGCTAGTCACCTGGCTTTAATATTTTATAAGAAATGCTTTTTTCTTACATTTTTTGTTTAATTTTTTCAAAGTTTGATGGTTTAGGACATTCAATACCAACTATTGCAGGACCCTTTTCACGATTTGACTTTTTAGTGTATTCGATATTTAATACTTCATCTTCTGAAGAGAGACATTAAATTATAAACTCTTTAAGAGCACCAGGTTTCTAATAGAAATCAACAAGCATATAATATTAGTAACCCTCTTCTACTCTAGATAGAATCTTAATATCAGTCATTCTAGTTAAATCATTATTTGAACCACTAATAATGCATACTACATTCTTTCCTTTTAATTCTTCCTTATAGTAGTTAAGCTTTTGATTATTAAAATATTATTAACAAATTTATGAAAAGCTTTTGCATTTAAATCCTTAAAATATATTTTTTTAAAAAAACTTTATTTCTGCTTTTAAAAATTTTAATATTTATGATATTTATATTTAGTTACCCCAGCAATAGCAAGAGCTCCAGCAGGTTCAACAACGATAGACTCTGCATTATAGATATCAAGCAAAGCAGAGCAGACAACACCTTCTGGGATAAGCAAAACTCCTGGCATCAAGTTACTAATAATTTCGTGTGTTCTCTTACCTGGAATACCTACTGCAGCACCATCTACAAAAGGATTAATAGATTTAAGAGGTTCAGGATTATTATTTTAGACAGCTAGCTTCATTGAAGGACATCCCTTTTATAAAAATATTTGTTTAACTAATTTATAAATATTATATTTTTAAAAATACCTCTGGTTCACATCCTACTATTACAGTATCAGGAGACATATGCTTAAAGTAGCTTCCTACTCCTGCGCACAAACCGCCTCCACCAATGCATATGAAGATATAGTCGATAGTGCCCTAAAAGTCTTCGAGTATTTCAACAGCTATAGTAGCTTATCCTTCAATAACTTTATCATCATCGTAAGCATGTACAAAAGTAGATGATGTTTCTTCACAGTATTTCTTAGCAGCTCTAAAACATTCATCAAATGTGTTACCAATGAGTTTAACTTCAATATAAGGTCCTCCCCAGCTTTTAACACTTCTTAATTTGATACTTGGTGCATTTACAGGCATAAAAATGGTTCCTTTGGTTTTCATGTAATTGCAGCAATAGGCAACACCTTAAGCATGATTGCCAGCACTAGCACAGACTACACCTTTAGCTTTTTCTTCTGTAGTGAGATTAACAAATTTATTTAATGCTCCGCGCAATTTAAAAGATCTTACGATTTGTAAGTCTTCTCTCTTGAGGAAAACATTTGCACCATACTTTTCACTGAGATAAAGAGATTAAGTGAGAGGAGTTCTTCTCACTGTGCTACGTATATCCTTGTAAGCTTTATATATTTTGTTAATAGGGCAAAGTTTACTTAAATCAGTTTTTAATTCTCTATCTGGTTTCTCTCTTTTGTAAATGTACTCTTAATCTCCTTGAGTGTGCTTATTCTAAACTTAAGTAATTTTTGGTCCTGTTTACTATTTTTCAACTCCATTCTATTTCTAATGGATTTCTTCAGGATTGCTATGGTTGCTTTCTTCAAGAGTTTATCCGTTTAGAGTCTTATCCATTTTATTGCTATATTATTTATGTTAGGTAGTGAGCGATATTTAACAAATAATTTAATTAGTTTAATATTTTTATTTTTCAATTAATTAATGATTACCAATTCCTTCAATCACTTAATTTATAAGCATAAAGATAGATCATGCAGTTAATAAATAAATAAGATTACTTGGTTTTATTAAAAAGTGTGCTAAATATTATAATTATTTTCATATCTATTTATCTATCTATCTATCTACTTTAAAATGCTACCCTTAATCTTCAAAAAGCTTAACATTTCCAAATAGTCAAAATTCTTGATGATTAATTGTACTATTTAGACATTCTTGGCGTAATATCAATTTTTTTTCTACTTATTTGTCCTCAAAAATATACATATCTATTAACTTAAACAAAAAAATTTTTATAGGGTAAATAAAATATTTAAAATGTTTTAATACTACCTTAAATCTAGATTAAACTTGAATACCGATCATTTAACATACACTTTTTTTTAATTAAGAAGTATTCATATTAGTAGATTACATCTTCAAAAATTTCAAATAAATAAATTTCGGAAGATACGCACATTAATAAATAAAGTATGAGCCAGAATCTTCTAGTATTTGTCTATTAATGAATATCAATAATTATTTTTGATATAAATATTAAATATAACAATCATTAAAACTTTATTTTTTTTAAATCTTATTTTATGCTAAAATATTTTTTTAACTATAGATATGAAAAGAAAGGATCATGTGAGAAATTAATAATTTAAATTTAATTAAATTAAATATTATCTTCTTAAAATTAACTAATAAAAATTTATTTTTTTAACATTATTTTAAAAGCAATTCTACTTATTAACAGACATAAAAAACTAATTCAATTTAAAAAAATCTAATTAAAGATGATTATAAGGTTGTAAAGAATCATGAAATAAATCAATAATTTGCATTTATTTAAATTAAATAATATTTTTAAATTGATATATAATTTATTTTTTTTAAAAATTTTTATCATTTTTTAGAAATTTAGCAAGCATAAAAATTGAATATTTGGAAAACTAAATTTTGAGATTATTTAAAGGATATAAAGCATCATGTAAGAATTTAATAATTAGTATGAAATCAAATTAAACAATATTTTTAATTTATTTATTACAAATTCATATTTTTTAAATTTTTATTATTTTAAAAGAAATTCTACTATTTAACAGACATAAAAAATTAATTAAATTTTGAAAACAATATTTGAAGATTATTTTTAGCGTAATTTTATTTTTTATTAAAATTTACTCAATATTCAAAATATAATGAAAAATCTTAATTTAATTAAATTTAAACTTGATAATTGAATGATTGATTGATCATATCTCAAATATTGATTTGAAATATTAAATTTGAATATTACAACGAATAATATTAAGCAATCAAACAAGAAAAATAAATAAACAAACAAATAAATAAATTATTTGGACTGTTTTTTTTAATAAACAAAAAAACACTTGCTTATTAAAATATTAACAAACACTTGATTTTGAATAAATATATTAACGTTGGAATTAATTCATACTCTATTAAGCATAATTAAACTAACAACAATATAAAAATGAATAATTCAAACTAAAATCAGATTTCGCTTTTTGAAAGAATTGAAAATACAAGAATTGATTCTTCAAAAATGTAGGATAAAATAAGGCAGCTTGACAAAGTTTTAGATAATATTAGTAGAATGAAAGTATTAATTTATTAATTGATCATAAATTATTTTTAAGAAGTCATAAAAAAATATTTTAACAGCACTTAAAACTTGAAGATGGGTCAATTAAATTAGAAGAAAAGATTTTTAAAACATTCTCATTAAATATAAAATTGATTTCTAATTAGATTGGGAAAATATTTTAAGAATACGAGGTTATATTTGACGAGCTAAATAATAAAGCAGAGGAAATACAAATTAAAATGGATACTATACAATAAAGTCATAATATTTCTATTAATCAATTGAAATTAGAGTAATAAAAATAAATCGAAGGCATATAAAAGGAAATATAATTAAAAGATGAAGACCATTAATTGAATTTAAAATAATTAAAAGAGTTCTATGATAAAGCTAAGAGAGGATGGACTAATAGCGTTGACTAGTTTGAAAATAGAGCTCAAACATAAAAATAAAACTTAGTTAAAACAACTAAAAATTATGAAGGATTCCAAAAGGAACTTAAGAAGAATTTTTTGTCCACATTTGAAGATATGGATTCTTTTATAAGGCAAGCAAAATAGAAAACTAATGTACGCTCAATTCAATGTAATAAATTTAATTTTTTTACTAAATGAAAAATATGCTTTAAATATGTATTATTTTATAAATAAAAGAATAAAAACTACTAAATAAGGAACCTTCTTTGTGCTAAAAATGTTTGAATAAATAAAATTGTGAAAATAAGGAGAATATATGCCCATAATGTCTACCAAGAGGGAATAAAAAATTACATAACAGAAACTTGGAATTAAATAATCAAAGTTCTATTAATATGAGTATGACTATGCCTCCTAACAATTTATTTGGAAAACTATCTCCTATCCATGCAAATAACAATCCTTTTTATTCTAGTAACATTCTAAAAGAAAGAGATCTTAATATACCATAGAATAGAGATTAAAATATTTTTAATAGATTCCCCTTTTAAAAATCTTAAAAAGAAGCTGAAGGTATAGATGACTCATAAAACAATTGTACACATTATATTAATAGAAAATTCATAATAAAATTAATTTAATATTTGCTTTTAAAATTTAGAAAACTCATACAATTCGTCCGTATCATTTGATAATTAAATTTTTAATGAGATTGCAGGAGGTGGCTAATACAAATCTTAGCTATCTTCTTCAAAGAATGAAGATAAATATGAGTCTTAGTTAGAAGATGATGAAGAAAAAGCAACCAGGGAATTATAAAATTTTTTAAAGAAGGCTATATTATTTATTTCTGTAAGCAATCATAACTGAATAACATAAATTTATATTAATTTTTATATAAAAAGAAAAATATAAATATACTTCAAGACATTGTTTAGCCCTAAAGTGAAGAGAGAGTAGGATATATAGAAGTAAATTAAAAATATATTTTATACTAGATTTTATTAATATGTAAGAATTATTATACAAATAGATCCTTATAGAGCAGATTTATTAGAAAGTAAAAGATGAAATAAATAAAGAAAAAGAGCTTGAAAATTAAAGAATTCAAAATATATCTAAAGAATTTATTCTAGATGCACAAACTAAAGAAAAAACCATAGCAAGAATCCTTTAATTTAGGAGAAGAGACGAATAAGATATAGATATGTCTTTTGCATCTAAAAGGTAATTTAAAATTTGTATTTAAAGAAATAATGTTATATTTTTATTATTTAAATTCTAGATTATCATCCAGGAGTGATTAATCTGAGGTTGAACCATAATTTGAGCATCATGTATAATAAGATGAAGTATTTGCTGTTAGAACAATAGAGGAGCAATTAGATGAGATATTTCCTTCATCTTTAAATAATGATAATAATTTTGTATACAATAATAATATGTAATAATCTATCAGAGACTTAATTTAAAGAAACAATGAGTTATTGCTAGCTACCAATTAATTACACTAGGAGAATTTATAAAATCTATAACAACCTAGTGATGAAAAAGAAAGAATAATAAATGCTGCCTTATAAAATAAAATCCCTATAAACTGATTTGTAATAGAGATAAATGTTTAAAGAAAAGAGTAGCATATAAAATATGGTACTGATAAATAAAATTTTGGAATAATAAAAATATAAATTAATAATTAATTATTTTCTTTTTTAGTTAATTAGTTAGTTCCTCTAAAATTAGCTAATTAATTAGAAATGCCAAATTTTCATAAATATAAATTTTTTTGCTTCTTTTGTGCTAAAAATATAATATATTATTTCGCCAAAATGCAGCAATAAATAATAAAAGTGATTTTTAATTAATAATTTAAAAATTTATGTTTAATGCAAATGCATAAATTATAAATGTACAAAGTAAGCATTAATTTTTTGCTTGCTTGTCAATTTATTTATTTATTTGTGTGTGTTGTGTGTATGTATGTATGTTATATTAATTTTAATAATATCAAATCATAGAAACTTAGAAAAATAATAATATTAAATATTTAATTTACTTGCATATGTCGTACAAATCCTTGATGACGATTTCTCACAGGAAAGATATTTATTTATTTTTATGATGAAAAATTTTTGATAGAAATCTCAAAAAAAAAAAATTTCCCCTCTGCTTAATTCTTCCTTTCTTAATATTAATGAATTTAGTTTGTAAATTCCCATATAAATTATTAGTCAAGCACTCTTCTTCAAGCACACGTCTTAATCTTCTACTCAAATATACTTTAATTTTCGATTAAATCATAAAAAATAATTAGATTTAAGATATTTTTTAATAAATAAAAAGTATTAAATAGAACTCTAAAAAAAAAGGAAATCAATAAAAAATGCTCTCAGGTCTCGGTAAATTTATTTTAGTCCTCTCCTTATGTCTTTAGTGCAGCTTGTTAATCTAAGGAATTGATGCCTAATCTAATTTCAAAACTAATATGGATGCTTTTAGCAAGGCTCTCCCTTAACTCAGCATTATTGCATAATACAGCTAATACTATGATTATATTAGATTCGCTCTTGCTGGTCTTTATGGATTCAGTATCCTCATTTTAGTTACTCCCTCTTGTTTTGTTCCTTTAGTTAGCGCTTTAGGTATTATTTTAAATACTGCTATCACCTATCTCCCTATTTTACTTAAGGACAATCAAAATGAACTCGCTCTTACTGCTGTCCTCAAGAACGTTTGTATCTTAGGAGGTCTTTTCTACCTTATGGGTTCTTCTTGCACTAAGACTTGCAAGCCTAAAACTGCTTGATTTATTAAAGATTAAAGGTACCCATATATTATAATAAAAGATAAATGAAGACTGAACAAGGTAAAAAAATGTTGAAATTTGATTATGAATAATTAATTGACTAACTAATTAGCCAACATAATTAGATATCATAGCATAAAATTCAATGAATCTTGTTATTATAAATATGATTACCGCAATATTTAATTTAATCCCAAACGATAGCTTTAAATTTTATTTTGCATGTATTTTGTAAGAACTTTTAATCAATTTTATTGAAACAAAGTGCTACTAATTAATTTTATTTTATTTCAGTTCATTCATTCATTAAAAATGTTGAGTATTTTTTTTCTAAAAAAGCAAAATATTTAATTTTGAAAATTAAGATTTTAAAAATAAATATTTAAAATGGATGATATAACTCATCTATTATTCAGTAACATTTATAAAAAGCTTTTAATAAATACCATCAAAATTTATTTTAGTAACTTGTTATTTACTCTTAAGAAACAAACAAATATAACCAATTATTTAAAAAAAAATATTTCTAAATTATGATTTTTATCAAAATTCAAATTCATCAATTCAATTTATGTATGATTAATAATTTAATTGATTCCTAATTATTATTTTCAAAATATCCTTGTATCTTACTTATATCTTTCTTTCACCTTTATATTAGCTAAACAGATATTTTCAAAATTATATAAAATACAAATTTATTTGTTGAATTAAAAAGAAACAATTAAAAAGTATTTTCCAAAAAATTATCTTTATTTCTTTATTATTATGAATAAAATAGTCTTTTGATACTTATAACAAAAAATTATTTATTACAATGTAAAAGTGTATATTAAAATACATAATTATTATAAAAATAATTAATTGTAAAATTATCTTTGAGCTAAAAAATACATTTATATATTTTTTTTAAGTGTAAAAATAAATTGTTCGATAGATCATTTAATATAAATATATTTTAACTAATGTAAATCTGACATAAAGTATATAAATATGATTGGATTTGTACTGGATGACTGTAAAACTTAAATAAATAATTAATTGAATCGTTTAAGTAATGAATATTTCTAAATATTACTCAATAAATATGGTTTTGGTAAATTAATTAATTAATTAAATTTTATAGTAGATAAGGAAAATTTTTTAAATGATAATTAATTATTTAGATTTGGATTTATTTATTTATCTAATTGCTCATTAATGAGTTTAGATTCCTTATGCTGAAATTCTGGGTTTGGCTTAAATTAGGTTTTCTTAATTAACTTGCTTATTTTGTTAAATTTTTTAAATCTGTGTTGTTTATTATTGTTGATAATTTGTGGTTTATTATTTGGTTTTAGTTAGCAATTCATCTTTTTTAATTGCTTAGTTATTTCTTTAAGCTATATTTTAGTGATTATCCATTTTAATTTGATTATTATCCACCCCAACTTAACTATTATTTTATTGAAAGGAGTAATTATTTATATTCATGTTATTGTGCTGAAGAGTTTTATTTTCTTCAAAATAATTATTGTGATTATCATAAAATGTAAGGTCTTATATTTGATCATTCACCTCATCTTAGGTATTCAGATTTTTATTTCCTCCATTATTATTAGGGATGTTTTATTTGGTGTCGATTTCTAAAGCTTTAGAGTAGTCTTATATTGCCAATTCCATTTTACCTAGGCTATTTATTATTTTTTAAATATTTAAATTATTGATATTTAACTAATTAGTAATACTTATCATAACAACATCCTCTGTTAAAGTATGCATTTGCATTGGAAGGATTAGATTTGATTACAGCAGAAAAATCATTTATAGCCTATTTTAAAAATATAAAAATTTAAATTATATTTGTAAATTTATAAAATTACATTTTAAAACTATCCTAATCTCTCATAACAAATACCCCTATTATGAAGAGCATGTTAGTTGCTGCCTTAAACCTACAAAACTTAATTATAATCATTGATGGCTTCTTTATATCTACCTAATTTTGCAAAAGAATATCCTCTATTATTTAACGTTCTTATGTTTATTCCTCCGAATTCCAACTCTTTGTTATAACAAAAAATGGCTTCGTCGTATCTCTCCATCTTACGGTATACTAATCTATTTTTAATTAATTAAGCATTTATTTATTTAGTTAAAGTTTTTAATTGTTCAAAAAACTATAAATATTAAATGTTTACCCAAGATTAGATAAAATTATTGGATTTGTAGGATCTAATTTAAGTGCTTGCTCAAAATCTTTAATAGATTCGACTAGCTTATCAACACTTCTCAAACAGCATCCCCTGTTATGGATATATATGGGATTAGTTGGTTCCAATTGAATAGCTTGAGTAAAATCTTGCATAGCTTTTTCGTAATCACCAAGCTTGTCATGTACAAGCCCTCTTCCATTGTAAGAAGTTGCTTATTTAGGATCAAACTCAATAGATCTTTATTTAAATTAATTTTATAAATATTTTAAATAATTTTCAAAAATTTAATTTACTGATTATAATAGCTTAAGGCTTCATCAAGTTTACCGCATTTTTCATACAAGGAACCAAGGTGATTAAGACAGCTCACGTTTTTAGGTTACAAAGATAGTGCTTTAAGAAAATCTTTTTCAGCTTATTCCAAATCTTATATTTTTTCAAAGCAAGAACCTCTATTATAAAAAGATTTAAAGTGGTTAGGTTCAAATTCTATACAAAATGTAAAATCCTAAATTGCTTCATTATAGCAACCCTTTTTTTTCCATGCAAATCCTCTGTTATGGTAAAAATCTGCTTTTTTAGGGTTTAATGCTATAGCAGATGTAAAGTCTTTTATTGCTTAGTCATATTATCCTTTTCTGTCATATGTAATTCCTCTATTATAATAAGCATAACAATTTCCATTTTCTATTTCAAGTGCTTTAGTATAGTCTTTAATTGCTAAATCGTATTATTTCAATTTATCAAGGGCGAAACCTCTATTAAAAATAGCCTAATATTTATTTTAAAAATTACAACTTATTAGCAAGTTAAAATTTATGAAAACATATTTTTAAAAATACTTTGAAGTGGTTTGGATAGAATTGCAAGGATATAGTATATAATTCGATTGCAAGCTCGAGCTGATCTTTCTTACGAGCTTCGAAACCTTTTATATGATACCAATCTGCTATATCCTTCTTATCTACAAGGCTGCTAGGAGGTTAAAAAGTTTACTTGAGCTGTTCTTAAACTTTTGATTCGGGATACATGAAATAGCTGCCAGAAATATTATTAGAAGCAGATTATGATAATTTTATTTAAAAGCGATCTGGTGTGTTAGGAAAAGATTTTTCAGAAGCAATGTTATTTGAAGATTAAAAGCTTGTTAGTGATGGGTTTTGTTGCAAACCGCTAGAAACATCTCCATAATTGATATAATTATCACTTTCTTCGCCATTTTATGGATTGATAAAATCATCTTCAGTATTTACTTTATATCCTTTATTTGCTGCTTAGTTATTGTTTATTTATGACCTAGAATGTTAATTTTAAAGATCTTTGCCATTGGATTATATTCTCTACCCATTAATGTAATGATTTTTAGAACTCTAGCCAATCTAATTTTTTTACTCTACAAGCTAATTATTAATATTTTAATCAAACTGTTAATCTTTATACTTAGTTAATTTATTTATATTTGGTTGATTATTTTCATTTTCATATTAATTTTATATATTTGTCTGCTTTTTATTTGGTGAAGAGTCAATCATTTACATCATCATCCTTTATTGCTGTTATTATGTAATGAGCTAATCTTTTTATAACTATAAATTTTAGTTCTTTTAATTTTATTAGGACCAACCTGTACCTGAATTTGTCATATATCCTTCTCTTTATTAGTTAAATTCATTTTCTGGTGGTATATTCAAACTATCAGCTTAGACGTGGCCACTAAAGGAATCAGTAACTTCTCTGTGTCCATTATTTTACATCTTTGAATTAAAACCATTTTTAGAGCTATTTGGTGGGCTGTTTAGCTGAATATTGCTGAACTAATGAGATACATCTATAGCTTGGTTCAACTATGAAATCTGAGAAGTTGATAAACTTTCAGATTCCTGTCTGTTTAAATAAGATTGAAGAGATCTTTTAATGCCTAAATTAGACTGATTCAAACTTCTTTTCTAATCTATTTCTAGAGCTTACTTATAAGTCTCAATTGCTGTGTGAAAGTCTCCCTATTTATTTTCAAAATTATTTTCAGTAATTTTTAGTAAAGAATTAGCTAGAAATTTAAAAAACTAAATAATTAAGTTATAAAAATGCTGAGCTAAAATTTAGTAGATTAATTATATTTATTTGATTCAGTGATTGGCTAGCAATCTATAACTTTTCTATAATTAGCTGGTTAATTTTAAGAGTTCCTCTTTTTTTTTGTTAGCAAAGTAGAATTTAGGAAAATGGTATCTAAATAAAATAATTTCAATTTTATTCAATATTATAAATGAGAATAGAAATAGTAATTTTAAGTTCTCTTTAATATTATAAAAAATAGTAAAAATATTGCTTACCTTAAGATTTAAGCAAGCTGCTTTAGCATAAGCTGCATTGACATGGTTTGGATCTAGTTCTAAAACCTATGTAAAATCACTAATAGCTTGGTCTATTAATTTTTATTTTTCATATGCACATCCTCTGAGATAGTATGCTCCTACATTTTCACATTCAATTTAGAGAAGCAAGTCACAGTCTCTAATTGCTTCTTTGAATTTTTATTGTTTGATAAACGCACTACTTCTAATATACAGCGCTTTTTTGTGATTGGGTACCATTTATAGTTTTTTGGTGCAGATCAAAATCAAGTTATCTAAATCTATTTGCTTAATTATAGTAAAATTATTATAATGCATTTTACTTTGATTAAAATGATTGCAAATTTTAACTAGATATAAAAAAAATCTGTTTTATATTTTATTTAAATTATCGTTAAGGAGCACAGATTAATGATAATTTTTTTTGTTTTGTGATAAAATTATTTTTATTTTACAGCATTAAAATTTCAAATATATGTTTAACGATAGTTACAGGTCTCATTTTAGTAAATTTGGAGCTAGTAGAGTTAGCATCACTCTATGAACTTGAGAAGATTTCCGATGACTACCCATATTACTATTACTAGCTTTAAAATTATTGCAAGTTTAAATTCTGTCTTAAATTCTGAGATTAATTCATTGGTGACAAGTTTTGTGTTATTTTCAACTCAGACGTGTTAATAGATGATTTTGATTTACTTAATTAAATTGAATTTTGCTAATGGCTTTCAGTTTATTTTTGAATATCTCCTTGATTTTGGTATTGCTATTGCTATAATTACTGCTATAAATAATTAGTTGTGTTATTTATCATGCTTTCTTTATATAATTATATTTTTTTAAAATTTTAGTTTTTATATATTTTTAATTATTAAATGCTTTTTTTCTTCAAGAATTTGAAAAATATTAATTATTGATTGATTGATTTATAGAGATAATTAAGGACATTAAGTATCTTCACTAATTAATTAATTTATTTATTTATTATCTATCTATCTATTAAGCGAGTAAAATCAAATATCAATCAAAATTTATTAAGCAACAACTAACTATCAAACTCAAATATTATTTATCAAATAAAAGTTACTGAAATTGTAAATAAATAATATATAAATTTAATAAATAAATCTTTGGAAAAATGTCAGGTTAGGATTCAAATTATACTACAGGTTAGTAGCCATATTAGCAAGGCATCAAGAGTTACACTCTTAATTTAGCTTAAAAGTAAAAAAGCATTCAATATGAAATGTGAATTAAAAATGTTAGCTAAAAATCAACTATTTTAAACTATAGTTTTTTTTAAACTCAAATAGTTGTTAATGGTTGGTTTATAATAATATTCAATACAGCAAATCTATGAAATAATATTTAGCTAATTTCTCACTTAAAATTTATATTCTTTAATATTTAAAGTTGCAGAATAAAATAAATTTACAAATTTTATATAAATGAATCAGGAATATTTCAGAATTAAATTCTTTTCTGCCACCTCCTGAATAGGCATATAGCATCACTACTCTCATTTTGAAGGATAATAAACTAAAAAAACTACCAGAAGATTTATCCAGATTTAAAAATCTTTAAATAATAGATCTAACAAACAATCCTATAATGGTAATTGGCAAATAAATTATTTTAGCGAAAAAAAATTTAATATGATTTATTTAATTTAAAAAAAATCTATCTTAAGTTTAAATTTAAATTTACACATAAATGTAGCAGCTTTCATTAAAAATACTTGATTGCATTCAATTATATTTGTACCACTGTTTTCATATTTTAATAATAAATAGATTGAAGCTATTATCCCAGGTTTATAAAGTCTTTAAAACCTCTCTGAAGTTTATATCAATGCTACTCCCGAATAAGAAAATTTCTTGAAATAAAACTTGGGAAATCATGTTAGCATTAACGGTGACAATCACGATGAACCTCATTAAGATTATCAAGAGAACCACTATTAAGAAAACGAAGAAGAGCATATAAATTATGTTAGAGACCCAATGAGATAGAACAGCTCATAGGTAATAAATATGTTAGGATTATTTTGAGTGATATACTAATTAACTAACTAGCTAAATATAGCTAAATAGAAAAAATAAAAGAACTTTTAGATATTATTAAAATGTTAAGATGCATTTTAAATTTCAAATTTTCATTAAAAAATCTTTTTATTTTCTACCCAATAAAAATTAAATTCTTTATTTATTTATTTAACAAATCTCATTTTTATAACCATTAGACTCAATCAAAAGAGATAACTCTTGGAAAAGAAGATTTAGTGACACTAGCTGTAAACAGATAATTCCAAATAGCATCATCTCTAAAATTTAATTTTTTAATAAAAAGCAAACATTTGACCAGATTAGAGAATTATACCGTTAAAATAACCCTAGCATTGATCAGCGCTTGGCTTAAAGTTTTGATTAGCATGTGAAAAGTGTGATGGAAGATTTATCAACAAAGATTGAATAAAAATCTAACGAACATATTACAAATACTCATATTATTAAAGCAAAATATGCACTATATGAAATATGTTTTGCAAAATTGATAGATTATGTAGCTAATGCTGATAGCAACATAGCAGATGTTCTTTAAAAAATCCATGATGCTCATGCTATTTTTGTATCAGAAATGTCATGTAAAATTATATTTGATTGTAAATATTAATTGATTAATTTGATTTCTTTACAAAGCAATTATTGAGAAATTAGATGAAATTAAATTTAATAGACCATATGCACCTGATTATTAAGTAAATAAATTTCTTTAACTTTCAGACTCAATTAATAACAGAATTTTATTTTAAGTATTTAAAAAACGAAAATGAGCAACTTAAACAATAAGTTTAGAGTCTCACTGATGAAAATAAGCATTATCTAGAAATAATAGTAAAACACTCAAAAGGATAGAGTACAGATGTTAATACAAATAAATTAGAGAGCCAAGGAGGTTAGCAAAGAGCCTTTTCTCCTTAATTCAACCCTGTAAATTTATTACAAACAAGACTTTTCAATTAAAAATTTTGATATTTTTAGTAAAAAACAAAAGAGATGAGAAAAATTTAAAGCACAATCAATCAAAGTGTTTAGTCAGTTGGAGGCCCCTCTACTGTTAGAACTCTTACAATAAGATAATTGAAAGAGGTTATAGAAGAGATATATAAATCTAAATAAACTTTTGACAAAAAATACTAAGAAGCATAACTTCCTAGAGAAACTATGGAATAGCATATGTATACCTATTTAAATTAAAAATATGGTCTCAAAGTAAAATTAATTTTATACTCGTTTCACTATCAAGCTTAATTTAAATTTTTTCTAAAAAGAATTTAATTATGGAATGGGCTGCAGCAATCATAAATGGTATTAGAAATTTTGTATCTGACGATAACGATATAGCTGTGTTTGGAAAAATACTTAAAAATGAATGTGATGAAGAATTTAGATTCGTCTAAAACTAAGTTAAAAATACAATCTAAGAGCTTCTTAAAGTATATCTATTAAGATATTTATTTAATTATTTAAATTAAACTTTAAAAATATAATTAGATGTACTTAAGAGGTAGATACCCATATAAACATAACTCTGAGATTAAGTAAATGGTAAGCTAAAAAATTGAAGGATGGGTTTATCTAGAAGAAGCAAGTGATATTATAAAATATATGTATAACGAAGAGGATTCTGAAACATTAATTGAGAAGGTTAAATTTTATATTGACTAGAATAGATCTAACACAAACTTACCATCAGATAAGTAAAATTAATTTATTATCACTTTGAAAAAAATAAAAATTTTTTATAATTAATTTTTAAATAAGTTTAAGCACCAAAAAAGTAACTAGAGAATAATTGTTAGCAATGTAGCAAGAAAAAGAAAAGTTCAAAATAGAATACGTCATATTTTAAAAGGTAACAATCAAAGTATTCATTTGAGTTTATTAATGTTTTTTGTAAAGATTATATTAGACTTCCAACTAAAGAGCCACGAAAAGTTCTTGAAGAAGTTTATCCTTCTTTTTAGAAGTGTTGACAAAGATCTTAATGGTGTTATTGATGAGGTATTTGCTTAATTTATAATAGAAAAATAATAAATAATTAATTATTTTATTAAAATTTTATAATTAGGAATAATTCAAAGAATTAATTGATAAAATGGATGTTAAAAAAGATGATACTGAAATTTAGAGATACTTATCCATATTAGATCCTTTTAATAAATAGCAAATCACCTTTTCTTAATGTGTTACTCTTTTTTCATCAGTAACAAATAATATATTTTATAGCTAGCTTACATAACAAATTTTAATAATAAATAAAATAGGAAGTAATAGAAACTAATGATGGCCAAAGACTTTCAATTCTATAAAAAATACAATAATTTGAATTTTAGAATCATAAAAATTGATTTACTTTTTTAAATTATTATTTTGCATTTCCATATAATTTATTTTGATAAGATTGATTTTTATAAAATTAAATTTAGTACTTTTTTAGTTTTGCATAGCTTAATATTTTTTTTAAGCGACTAAACTAAATTATTTGTTTTTAAATTTGCCAAAAATATGTCATTTATACTTATGATTTTTGATATTATAGTTTTCAAAGATTTCTTTATTTATATATCAATCACTACTTTTCGCTCTCTTTTTTAAAAAATTCTAAAATTAAATGTATCTTTCTTTTAGATATATTAGAAATCATCACATTTACAAGTAAATTATCAAAAACAAATCATTAGAATGATATGTAGAAAATTAAAACTTAATACTTAAATAATATCTTTAATTAATTTCAGAAACAAAAAATTCATCAAAAAGCAAGTTGAATTCTCTTAAAATCAAACAAATAAGGATTACATTAGTATTAAAAAACAGAGTTTTCATATCTAAATGATAAAGAAGCTTGACTAAAGCTCAATCTTAAATATATGTGTCAATTAAGTTATCATAGATCTAGCTACATGTAATATTTCTAAATTTAATTTGAAGAATAATTTAAATTACTTTTTTTACAGGTGTTAAGGAGTTGGTTGAAAACAGTCTAGATGCTGGATCAACAAAAATAGAAGTGTATCTCAAAGAATATGGAAAGGAGGGAGTTGAAGTTGTTGACAACGGGAGTGGTATCAGCTCTTAAAATTTAGAATAAATAGCTTAGAAAGGTGCAACCAGTAAGCTTCGCTAATTTTAGGATCTTGAAAGTCTAGATACCTTTGGTTTTAGAGGAGAAGCCCTTAATGCAATAAGTGTTTTAAGTTAACTAACTATCACAACTAAGACAGACAGTGATGAAATGGCATACCGTTACTAGTTTAATTAAGATAATACAATTAAATCAAAGAGTAATTTTCAATTTAAACACATAAATTAAATTATCATTCATAAAATATATTTTATTGAAATTATTTTAATTTAACAAGATTTTATTATTTAAATTCTTTAAAATTTTTTTTATTATGATGAATAGCATTAGTGCCTAGAGAAAGAGGGACTACAATTAGTTTAACAGATTTGTTTGGTAATATCCCAGTTAGAAAATAAGAATTCAACAAAAATATTATTAGTTAATATAATAAATTAGTCAATATGATAACTGAATATGCAATTATTTCTGTTAACTGTTAGATTTGTTTGATCAATTAATCTTCAAAAAAAGGCAGGGAAATGATTTTGAATTCTGGCTCTCCTATGAAAAATATGCTTTAGAAGACTGCTCAAGTATTCTCAAAAAAAATTTCTGATATGCTTGTTGATTTAAAATTCGATTTCGGTGAAGAATGTAGTGTAATAGAGGGTTATATATTAAATAGATAGACAAGTGGTAGTGTTTAAGATTCAAAATCAATATAAAAAAATATGAGTTATCTGTTTGTAAATACTCGCCCAGTGAATCCCTTTAAAAAAATGAACTCTATATTTTCAGATATTTATAAAAAATACAATAGTTCAGCTAGATATATCTACATTCTTCATTTAAAAGTGAAGAAAGATGCTATTGATTTTAATGTTTCGCCAGATAAAAGAGATATTTTTATTAAATATGAAAATGAATTTTATACAGCATTAAGAGATAATTTAACATAGCTATTTGAAAAACTCAATAGTATATAAAAGGTTTTAATGCCTGTGGTGATTTCTAGCAAAATAAAAGATACATCTATGGATGATTCAGAAGATGATAGCTAAGAATCTTCAAATTAACAAAAATAAAAAACTTTATCTACTTAGCAAACTAAATAGACAAAATTATTTTAAAAATTAAAATAAGAAATTAATATACAAGAGGAGGATTTGTCAAATGAAGATAGTGAAGCTAATAATTAAAAAGAATTAGAAATTTTATCATTTAAATCTCCTTCAAAAGGCAAATAAATTACATAACTGAAAGATACTATCAATAATTAAAGAATTGGTAGCAGTAACTCGAAAAGAAAATAGGATTTATTTGAGGATGTTAATGACGAAATTGAGGATTTAAGTAATTTTTCAAGTAATAGCAAAGCTCAAAGCAAACAAAAAAATGATAATAGTGAATACTTTAAAAGTAGAAACCAAACTTTTAATTCCGATTATTTTAGTATTGCTTAACAAAGGAAGAAAGCTTATGAAGAATAATTGTAAAATACAAGAGAAGAATTATAAAATAGTAAAGAAGAATATTAAGAAAATTATTAGAAAAAATAGTAAACTTCAAGCAAGGATCATAATAATTAAAATAAAACTGATTCTAAATAGCTAATTAATGAAGATGAAGAATAAAATTAAGATTTTTCTTATTTCAATGATAAATTAAAATTGTATAAGCAATCAAAATAGTAATCAGAAAATAATTCTAAATATTAAGTGAAAGAATATTCTTTTGATATGTTTAAAAAATCGAAATAGGAAAATTCAAGTAAAGGATAAGATAATTAGAAAATTAATAATGAAGATGAAGAAAATTGTGATGATTAATGTTGCACACAATCACAGAATTACTCTAATTCATAAAACGAATATAAATCAGAAGATTCATCTCTTTATAAAATGAAAGAAGAAAAATAAACAAAATAATTAAAATAGTCTTTAAATTAAGAAGAGCTTGTATAAAAACATTTTTAAATACAAGAAGAAGCTAGAATTTTAAATAAAAAATAAAATAATGAATTGATGGAAATTGATGAAAAGATAGACTAAGATTAGGGAAGAGCATTTAAAATTAAATCAAAAAAAGAAGATGAAATAGAAGAATTGGCTGATGACTTAGAAGAACAATTAAAAACTTGGGAAAGCGAAGACTTTAAAAAAGACAAGTTTGTTGAATTATAAATTATAGGCTAGTTTAATAAGGCATTTATCATAGCTTATTGGGTTGAAAAAGATTAAATATTTTTAATTGATTAGCATGCTTCTGATGAAAAGACTAATTATGAAAGATTGTTAAAAGAAAATAATTTCTAAGGATAAAAACTAGTTAAACCAATAGAGCTAAGCTTAACAATACAAGAAGCAGACATTTTAGAAAACAATAGGGAAATATTTAAAAAGAACGGTTTTTAATTCTAAATCAAATATGATGAAAGCAATGGAGAACCTAACCTTTACATAAACTAACTTCCCTCAAGCAAGCACATTTAATTTAATATAAACGATTTCGATGAAATCTTTTAAAACATAAATAATGAAGAAACAGATATTGAAACATTTAGGCCTAAAAAAATTTAAAGAATTCTTGCTTCTAAGGCTTGTAGATCTTCAATTATGATAGGAACAGCCTTAAATAAGTCATCAATGAAATAAATTTTGTTAAATTTATCTAAGTTGTAATCACCTTGGAATTGCCCTCATGGACGTCCTACTATGGTTAAAACTCCTCCTATGAATCATCTCATACAATAAGTTTAAGTCAAAAAGACATATGATCTTTGAGACTGAAAATATTTTCAAATAATATAAAAAATATCAACAATAATCTAATTTTGTTACTCATTTAAATAAAATTTTAATCTGTCTATATCAATCATTATTTATTATCAATATTAATTATTACAGTAATTATCTTTATTCAATCAGAAAGAAATATTTGTTGTTAAATATAAAAATATTTATTATCTGTTTAAAAACTCTTTTTATTTTATTTATAAAGTTGGTATTAAAATTTTAAAGTGAAATTTTTTTTTTTTGGAATGAGCCAAATAAATCAAATGAGGTTTTATTTATTGCTTTCAAAGATTTTACTTGAACTCAGATTGCATCAATAAGTATATATGCTTTTATAGCTTTAAATAACTCTATTAGTTTTGTAATTCTTTATAACAAATAGGTGAAGAAGATAAAAAAAATAATTATTGTATGTCAATTCCTTAAAGTTATAGTTTATATATATTAAAATGCAATGATAAGCTATTTTTTACAGCCTAAAATACTATCTTATTAAATTTATCCAGCAAAACATTCATTAATTAAATTAATATCAAAAATTTAGTGAATTTTTTTGCCAAATAATCCTTAAAACTCAAATTATTCTAGTTAATTTTGTTTTATATAATTTAATTGGGCTCAAGGCTTAATACAGTAAAATTATAAATCCTTTTCAAAAATATTAGCAATTTTTCTAACACATATATTAGTAGTATTTAAGCTGGCTCATACATACTTACTTTTGCATATTTGAATACTAGTAACTAAGAAAAAACTTATCGATTTTTGATAAAATTAAAAAATTTTTAAGAATTTATTTTATTATTTTTGAAGACATTTAAATTTGAAAAAGTTTTAACAATTATTTTATCATTAAATTAATTAGCTTTCTAACAATTAATAATTCAAATAAAAACTGTAACAAACAATATTTTAGTATACTAATTTATTTTTGTACACATTTAATTATTTGAATTAATAAAATCTCACCTTATTTATTAAGAGAAATTGAAATTTATATATTGTTTTATTTGTCTAATGAATGTATTCTAATATGATTTTTTAATTAACCTAACTATTTACTACCTAAATTATGTTCTTTGTTTTTAAAAGAGAAAATAAATGCTAATTAATATGTATGATAATTCAATTTGATATGACATTTTTTGATAAAATAAATTTAATTTGTTAAAAAGTTAATTTATCAGATTTACTTAGCTTTTTAGCATATATCTTTCTATTTATTTAATTTAAGCAGTAGAGATATTATTTGTGCTTTGTATAGTTTCTACTAGCTATATAATAAATAGACTCAATTAATTTTTTATAATTCTTATTAGTAGTATCTAATACAATTTTATATTAGTAGTTTGTTTAATATTTATCTATCCAAAGAATTAAAGTATCACAGAAAATCATATTATCTATCAAAAATTAAAAATGACAACAATAACTAATTATGTCAAGGGTAACTTCTTAATTACTGAATAACAAGAATAGAAATAGTTATGCATATTTGAGAGTGAGTACTATAACGAAAGCGTATGCTCATAACTATTTAGTCATTCCTTATAATTAAATTTGGAAGCAAAAGAAAGGTAACTAATTATTAGTAATTCTTAAATGGAAATTCTATTTAGCTGCTTTGTGAAATATTAAATGTTTGTTATATTTCTCATAACTGCAATTTTATTTTTAAACTATCAAATTTTTAACAACAAATGCATATTTTTCAATTATTGAAATTCATTATTTTTTTTACATAGAAATCTGATTCTTATAGATTTTGGATTGCAATGGATGAGCGAATTCGAAAAGCTAGACAAATAAATTAATTTAGATTCAGGAAAGGCTGTATAAATAGGAGAAAATAAATATGGTTTATTTTTCTTTGACTCTTTATGCACATAAAAAAATGATTTTGCCTTTAGTCTTAAAGAGGAATCTTTAAAGAAGGTTATTGAATGCCTTGGATAAATAAGTAAATTTATTAAAATATCATTCTAAAATCTATCAAAGCTAAAAATGTGCTATAATTAATCAAAAAACCCTACTTAAAATAGAAAAGCATTTAAATGGTAAACCAACAATTTTGTTTATGAGAGGACTTGAAGTTTTAGAAATGTATTACTAAAAGGAAGACATTTCTCTTTTTGTAGCAGAATTATAATAGACAAATGACTTGATAAGTAAATTATAAATATGAAGTTTTAAAAGATGCTTTAAAATTAAATTATATAAAATAGAGTAAGTAAATTTGATTGTCCGTAAAAGTTTGATATCAAATAAATTAGAAGAAGCTTTGACTTCTTTAGCTACTTGCAAGATATTCTTTGATTATCCCTACGAATAAATTAAAAATGAAGTCCATACTTAATTTTTTATGTTAAAGCTAACTTTAAGAAAGTTTAATGGATACTCTTTTATTCAGGTAATTAAATAAAGCTATTATAATTTATTTTTGAGATATTATGTCTGTCTAAAGTAGCTTTAAGGAAATATTTTAATAATTTAAAATTATAAAATAGAGATATAAATTCAACTTAACAGAAATGAAAAAAAATAAGCTAGATATCAAAAAGTTTGATCCTAAGGTAGAAGAGGATGTTCCTGGTCCAAGCGAATAGGATATCTAAAAAATGTTTTAGGCTTCATTCAATCTTTCTATTTCAGAATCATAAAAGAAGGCCAGATAATAGTTAGAGGAAGCTATTATGCCTCATTTACAATAAAAAAAATTAGAAAAATGGGGTAAAATTTTTATTTAACATTGCAATTTAATCTTATAAATTAATTTTTTTAAAAAGATAATTGTGCAGAGAAAGTTAAAAATAAAATGGATGATTTAATTGAACTAGAAGGATCAGATGTAGATTAGGAGTAAGAAGAAGACGATGACTTTGATGTTTGAGTTTTTGTCAATAAATTAAATAAAAGCAAAAAAATTTAGATATATGAAAATGAGTTACTTATTTTAATATGTTAATAAGCATATAAACTATGGATTTTATATCAGTAAAAAATGCATTTATATAAACTACAATGTATATTTTAAGCCAAATCTTATTTACTTATTTATTTTACATTAAAAATTTGGTTAATTTTCTAAATAGAATTACTACAAAAAATACTCATTAATAGTTATTTATATTAATCAATCAATCAAAACTAAGTAGAAATTAAAATAACTCAAAGTTGGATTTAACTTAAAAATTACAGCAAACTACTTAGGTTTATTAAATTATATATGAACTAGTAATAAACTAAGTTGCCTAATAATGATACATCGCTAAATATCTCAAACAATTATAATTCCTCGTTTTCATTAGCAGAGTATTATTAATTAAAGCTATTTATTTAAAACAATACATATTAAATAATTATTTATAAAAATACTAAACCATTAAGTAAATCTAGTTATAAAATAAATATTGAAGGGGCTCAAAATAGAGGTAAATTGTTTGAGGGTACAGACAATGATGTTTCTTTTCATAGATCGTATAGAAATTAACAAATATCAAAGTAAGATGTTGAAGACTATTAAGAATAAGATGTAATAGATGAACAAAATAATCACGAAAATATGTTGAATTTATAAAATAGTACTTCTAGAGACTTGAATAAAATACATTGTAAATTGTTTTAAGCTGAAAATAATTTTAATAAATAGACTTTATTTTACAATATTTATATAATATTTGAGTATCATAATTATTCTTTTTAATATAGATTAAGATTAAGTTAGTCTAAGGAAGGATTAGAGTTAATTCACAAACGAATATTTGGGTAATAATACAGTATATTCCAATACTAATAGAGAAAGCAATAATTTATTATATGCACATAATGCAATTAGCGTTGAAAATTCTCCAAACCAAACTTTTAATTTTTTACAAAAGCAGATTGCTTGGCTTAATGAAAGAGTAATAGCAAAGCTTGAAGATTCTCCAAAAAAAATTGCTAAAAGAAAAATTTCATCTCATATTTCAGATTTCAAAAGTCCTTAAAAAAAGGAAATCTCATTTTTTTCCAAGAATTAATTTGAATCCAAAGAATTTATATTTTTTAAACCTGAAAATCAAAAAGATGAAATGCTGAGCTCATAAAGGTTATATAAAGATTTATAAAGTAGTGGCTAAAACGAATTAGATTAAGAAAACACTTTTACTGTTAAAAATTACCTCATTATTTTTACCTTTGTAAAGAGATTTGTAATGAATTTAGTTAAAAAAACAGCTTAGAAAAACCCTATGAATCTCAAAAAAATGCACTTAGCCCTAATTGATGATAAAGCGAATGAAAATATGATTTTTTTTGCTAAGTAAAGAGAGTGTTAAAAGCAATTACAAAATTAGCAACTAATGTCTAAACAATCCAAGTATTTTGACCCTATTCAATCACAATCGCTACAAAAAAATATAATAAGTATTAAAGATAAAAAAAAAATAAATTTTAAATCTTTTTATTAAAGACAGAGAGATTATGTAAAGCTCAAATTCGTTATTCGTTTTAAATAAATATTTTCAGGTAATGCATTTTAACCTGATCATGCTCTTATTATTATTTTAAATATCATTTTATTACTTTAATTGGTTTCTCATATACTGATCATTCCTATAAAACTCTGCTTCTTCATACAGGCTCAGTAAAAATCTTAGTTTCTATTATTTTATTCAGCTGCAGTTCTTTGTTTATTTATAGAAATATTTATTGCTTTCTAAACTGGATTTTATGAATCTGGTGTACTTGTTTTGGATAAAATTAAGATTGCAAAATAGTATTTTAAATTTTAATTCTGGGTTGAGATATGCTCAATGGTTTTGATTATAATTAATTTGATATAATAAATTAGTGTAATTGAAGGAATTATAGTAATTTTGAGATTTGATTAAGTATTTATTATATTATTTAATTAACCACTGTAACTTAATTTATTTACAAAATTTTATTTAGGTTAGAAAAAAAATTTAAAGAATTGATGAACATTTTGAAATATCTTCAAAATTTCCAACTTTATATGAATTAAGTAAACTTAGTGTGTACATTTTGATAATGGCACATTTTTGGGGATGTGGATTTCATTTGATAGGAACATATTCAAAGTAAAGTGGTTAGTTTTCTCCGCTTGATAATTGGATTTCAGTATAAAAGCTTGATAACTCAGACTGGGTTGTGTTATATATCAATTCAATTTACTTTACCATCATAACTATGATTACCATAGGGTATGGAGATATAGCTCCTATTAATATATATGAAAAGATATATGTTTGCTTTATGACTTTTATCACTTGTGGCTTGTTTGCTTATTGTGTAAATTGTATAGGAACTCTATTTGCTGAGATTAATCAAAAGCAACAAATTTTTAAATAAAAGCGATATGAGCTATCTAATTACCTTAAGTTTAAAGGTACAAAAAAAGAAACATATATAAAAATCATTAAGTACATAGAATACTTGCATAAAGAATCAGATGTCACCATTGCAAAAGGTATACACATCCAAATATGGGCAAATATTTTTATTTATTTCTACATTTAATAAAATTTTAAATTTAAATTTATTTTTTTAATCTTAAAGATTTGCTAAAAAAATAATTTGATTATTTTAAATATTTAAATTTTAACAAAAATGATAAAACCTAGGCTATTAAATTTTAAGTCAATGCCCGCAAGAATTGAGAGAAGAAGTTTAATAAGAATACTACACTAAGATTTTATTAAATTCAATATTAAAAAAATATTTTAGCCTAGCTTTTCTATAAGCTATCAGTTTAAAAATGAAAGAAAAAATACTAGGTCCTGGAGAGATTTTATTTACTAGAGGCTCTCCTCTCCAATATCTATATTTTATTTAAAAGGGAGAAATAGAATATTTCATGTAAAACAAAGAATATTAGAGATCTCTTCTTAAATTTAATGTAACTTTTTCCATATTTAAAAAGCCTCAATAAATTAATTATTTTTAGGAAGCTAAAATAGTAGATTTTAAATTATTTGCTACAGGTTAATAAGCAGACATTTCAATTAGATGTTAAACTAAAACAATTGTCGCCTATTTCTCAATGGAGGATTTTTTAGATACTCTTAAAATATATCTAGTCGATTAGGTAAGAATTTTTTTTCAATCATCTGATCAAATTAACTAAATTTTTAAATCATTTTCAGAAAAAAATTTACTTTTTTAAAAGGAAAAGTTTTGCTACTTAAGAGATTAGATGTAAAGCGAAGAATTGAGTGATATCAAATGCATGAGTTGTGGATAATTCAGGCATAATATATTTGACTGCCCAAAGCTTCATTTGGGGCTAAGCAAAGATATGATTATCAAAAAACACAGTTATTCAGCATAGTAAGAAAGAGGGGAAAAAATAAAATTTTCAAAAAGACAAAAATATCCTACTCTCAGAAACTAAATGCTAGTAAGAAACTTTTTAAGAATACTAAGATGGTAAAAAGCTTAAGAATCTTACACCAAGTATTAGAATATAAATGTAATTTAAGAAGTAAATATTATAGAAAGTGATAGGCAATTCTTTAAAAGGTGTCCTAGAATTTTAGATTCCAACAAGAAGATATAATAAAGACAAGGAGATAATTATAATATAGACGATATATTTCATTTGTAAATTAAAAGCTGGATAGATGAAGACGATGAATATAGTTCTAGCGAAAGTAACCTCTCTGAGAATAGTCAGACTTTTCACTCAAAAAGCCAATCAAAAATTTCATTTCAAAATTAAATATTACCAGAAAATATAACAGAAAGTCCTCAACATATTGATGCAATTCTTGGAGATATCATATATACATCTAACAACTAAAAAAAATTAGTATCAAAAATTTAAAATCCATAAATAATAAATATGATTAAAGAAGAAGAAATTGATGATTCTTATTAATCATCTTAGATAATCCCATTATCTGAAGAAAATATTAAATTAGATATAAATTAAGAATAATTAAACAAATAAAAAATAAACAATACCACCATTTCAAATCATTAACGAGCTTAAATTATATATAAGAATAATATATAAAATTTTGAAAGTACTTAAGATTAAATTTAGTAAAATTTATCTATAAGACTATCTAAACCACTCCAAACTAATCATGGTTAAACTGGAGATAGCAATAATAGAGATTTAGAAGAATTCAATGACATAGATTAAAGATCCTCACCTTTAAACCTACAAGGAGTTTTGAGCACCAGAAATTCTTTTAGTTAGCAAGTTAATTTAGTAAATTAAGCTGCTAAAAATATCAATCTAGTAAATATTTTGAATCAGCAGCAATAAGCTAATGACTCTCTTATACAAATGCAGTGTCCTCAAAAAAATATTTTTGAAGACACTTCTTCAATTATGAACTAAGGTTCAAATGATAGTAAAAATAGGGATTGCTATCGTTAAGAGTCTGACTAAAATAATTTTAGAAAACAAATAAAAGCTCTTTAAAAGAGTGTTAATATGCTTTAATTTACTATCCTACAGTAGTTTTAAAATTTAAGTAAATAAGCTAATACAAATATTTAGAATGATTATATTAAAAAGAAAACTAATAGTGCCCTCGATTAAGCAAAGTCTTTTATCAAATAAAAATAACTTTCAAAAACTCAATTTGATATAGATGGAAACAAATCTTTTAATCTTGAAAGTATGACCTAGTAAAACTATCCTAATCTAACCTTACCAAGCAAAGAGCATATCTTTGGAAAGCTGCAATTTGAGTTCGATAAAAGTAAAGAATTTCACGTATACTACCCTAAAGGAAATATCTCAAATGTAATTAGGATTTTCAAAAAAATATAAAATAAAAATAACAAAAACTCTCATAAAATCCACAAAAAAAAATATTAATTCAAAGAATCCTTAGTTTAATCTTTTTTTTCAATTTAAGACATTTGGAAATCTCCTTCAACTAAAGTAAAATTTAATAATACGCCAATACAATAATAAAATTAAGCTACTGAAAAGTGAAAAAATAAATTAATTTGATCATAATTAGATCTTAAATATTAAAAAATCAATTGATTTAATTAATTTGATAGATAATTGTGAGATATTAAATATTAAAATTCTATCATTTTTAAAAAATATTAATTAATGTTCAGTTTTTTTATAAAATATTTAATTGGAATTTATATTTTTAATTAATTTTTATGCAATAAATTAAAATATTTAGTAGCTAAATAAATAAAATCAACATATTAAACAATAAAAATAACTTAAAAAATAATTAAAATTTAAAAATATGATTAAAGTATTAGTAATAAAAATTTAAATTCTATCAAATATAAAAAATTATAAATGATATTTAGTTTTAAATAATCTTTTTTTTTGTAATTTATACTTTTAGTTAATCTCTTTACGTTAAATTTACATAATAAATTAAAAAAATTTTTAAATAAAAATTGAAATATTTAATTGCTAAATAAATCATATCAATTAATTAATTAAACTTAAAATAGCTTTAAAATTAATAAAAATATAAAATTATACCTAGCTATTATTAAATTTTGACTTTTCATAGATTTTAATTCTAAGTGAAATTTTGATATAATTTTTAGCTTTTATATTTGAATATGTTTCGTTTTGATTAATTATATATAAAATAATGTAAAATTAAATGAAAGCTATTAAAATCAATTTTATATTTAATTTGTTAGCCAACAGTTATTTAGCTAACTCTCTTGCAGTTCATATTTTAATTAATTTTTTTGTTTGAAATATTTGTATTTTCTTATATCAGTACATTTATAAAGTAATAATAACTTACTTTAATAAATTACTTTATAATCGTACCTTATAATAATAAATGTTTTGTTAATTTATTTACAAGTAATAATTATAGTTTTTAATCTTACTGAACTCAAATACTAATAGAGATCATTTTACGGTATATTATTAATATAACAAAATTTTGAACAAATAAATAATATTCGATTTAATTTCACAGAACATTGCAAGGATAAATAAAATATATTTTTAGTTTATTAATTGATCAATTGATATACATCATTTATTCTTTAAATGGATGCTCAACAAGCCAAGAGCCCAACGTATCATATTAAAAACACCTACTTGCATAATTGAATTTATAAAATGTTTATTACTTATAGAAATGATTATGTTATTAATGTTGAAGGAGCAAATAATAGAAGGAGAATGTTTAATGCCTCAAGTTTTATTTCTACTACAAATATTTTATAGAGAAAAGGAAGTGATGCGATTGATTCATTTTCATAAGATCTTCATGGATACGATTAAGTGTTTTCCAATTAATGTCTTAAAAATAAAGAAGTAGATTACTCTGAAAGGTAAGAAAAAGCTAATTCAAAGTTAGAGTTAGCTATGGATGAACAATAGTCTAGAAATTTAGATATTACATCTACAGATTAACTAAAAAGGAACTCAAAAGTGAGTGAAATAGTTAGAACAAAGTCAAAAAAAGAGATTAACTACAATGATATTCAATAAATTATAAAGTCAAATTAAAAAAAGGGAAACCAATATATTTAGTAGAAAATTAAAACTATAAATGATTAATAGTAGAATAAAGATTAATAACTGCTTAATATTGGAAATGGTGTAACTGAAGACTACTTTTAATATGAAAATAATCATGCAGATGAATTTGTTAATAGTAAATAAAACGAAGAGGGATAGGAAGCAATAAAACTCAGAAATTAGATTGTTATTTTTTCATATCTCCTCTAATTTGTAAAATCGCTTTTGGTAAGATATATGTATAAAAAGCATAATATGTTATCAGTTCTTTAATATAGAATTATTGGTGATAATGCAATTATTATTTAAAAAAACTAACGAAAGAGGATTGATGAAATTCAAAAGGTGAAACATCGAAATATATTTGAAAGAATCAATTTTATCCGTGAAATAAATGTTTCTAGCTATAATTTATCTAATTTCCACAAGGAATCCATCATGAAAAAATTTATTTTTAGCATAGTGATTCGTACTAGAAAGATATTAAAATAAATTTTAAAAAGAGTTATAATTTTTAAGCCCAACAACCCTTTCATACTTATTTGGGAAATTGCATTCCTTTTAGTCATATTATTCTTTTTATTGGCTATACCAATAGAATGGAGTTTTGATTTAACTGATAGCTAAAAGAAAGTTTTAAAAATAATGAATTATTTTTAGGTTGGAGTCTTCGTTGCTGATATTTTTATAGGCTTTCATACAGGGTTTTATGAATTCGGAGAAATAGTCATGGTTAGAATGAGGATTTATGAAAAATACTTCAAAGAAAAATTTAAGACTAACTTTATAAGTTTAAGTTTACTCGCCATTAACTTCATTATTGATTTTAAACTTTTAAATTTTTTAGCACTATTGATCATGGTAAACTCAGTAAGCATCCAAATAAATTAAAATTTTTATAAATTAAACTCATAGATTTTTAAAATAAAAATTTAGATTACAGAAAAAATTGAGAGAACAAATTTAAATCTATAACTTTATTAAAAGTTATCTTCCTTGCAAGAGCTAATTAAATTATTTTGTTTCATTTTTCTTTCAATTCATATATTTGGTTGTGGTTTTCATTTTGTAGCAATCTACAGTGAATGGCAAGGCATATAAAACAATTGGCTGAGGTAAAATGATCTCTTGAATACTTCTGCTGGGGAATAGTATATTAATTCAATATATTTTACAATGATTTCAATGTGCACAATCGGCTATGGCGACATTCATCCATTAAACTACTATGAAAAGATATATGTTTTGGGTATGGCCTTTATTAGCTGTGGTTTATTTGCATTCAGTGTAAATTTGATAGGCAGTATTATATAAGATATTTAGAAAAAGACTAAGGATTTCAGGAATAAGCAAAGCTTAATTTCTAGCTATATGAATGAAAGATAAGTTTAATTATCTACTTAAATGAGAGTTTTGAAATATCTAGAATTCATTGAGGATTTTCAGGATTCAAATATTACAGAAGGTAAATTATGAATTTAAAATTATGTTGTTTATAACTAATGACAATTTGATATACATAAAAGGTGCTAAAATTCTAGAAACATGTTCTTAAGAAATTAAAGAAGAGCTGCTTAAAGAGTATTTTGGGAGAATCCTTAAAACTATCAAGCTAATTAAAGGAACTTTTAGTTAAGAGTTCCTTATTCAACTTAGTTTAGTTATGAGAGAAAGAAGATTTGCTCCAGGCGAAATACTAGTTTAGAAAGGTCAATAAATGAAACATCTATTTTTTATTACAAAAGGATAGACAGAATATTTTATAGCAAATAACGGGAATTTTTTAAATTTATGCGATGTAATTAAAATTCTTTAAAATTAAATAAATAAACCAAGTATTATTTATTTTTAAAGTATGACGAAAAGATGATAGATTTAAAGTGCTTCATAACTTAATAGCCATCAGAAATATCAGTAAGAAGCAAAGGAATTACTACTGCAGCATATATAGATTTTCATTAATGGGAAGAAATAATAAAATAATTTGGTTAAGATAGAGTAAAATATAAAAAATATTTATTAAAAATTAAATTTAATTGAAAAATTATGTATATTCTTTATAGGAAAAAGCTTGCTGCTTGAGAGATTAATTTTTAAATGATAAGAGATACTAATATCCTTGTAAGAGTTGTGGTTAATTCTAACATAATTTATACAGTTGTCCTTAAGTTTGTTATAAAATTAATAAATCTCTCTATTTTAATAAGCTTGTGTTAAACATTCAGCAAGATAGAACAAAGACAAATAGAAGGGACAAAAAGAAGCAGATTTCTTCCTATACTAGCAATGAAACCATTAGGTAAGGTTTAAAATTGATTAGATGGGGCCTAGTTAAAGAAATTTATGAAGACTATGAAGAAACTGATGTATAATAAGAATGCACGATGATAGAAAAGGATAAAGAATTCTATTTAAGATGTCCGAAAATCAAGCTGTCATATTTTTTAAAAAAAGACGAGTAAAAAGATGAAGTTTAATATAATTACCCTTAAGTTAAAGTTAAAGGATTTAAGCAACAAAAGAGTGAGAGCAATTTCTTTTTTAATCAGTTTAACTAAAAATAAGAATTAAGTTCGTCTTCCTCCTCTTCCTTTATGACAACAAGTGAAAGTGAAGACTCCAGCGATAGCAGTGATATTTAAAATACTCCTTAGCAGCCACAAGTATAGCAATAATAACAATAATATGAGCAAGCAGTTAACAGTCTTAACAGTAACTAGCTAAGTACAAATTTAATGCCTTCTTAGATTCCTCTTGATTCTAAATTTGATTATTCTGAAATTCACATTGATTTTGTTAACAACTAAAATTATTACAAGAAAAATTAAAATGAGTCTGGCTTTTAGTAATACTACCTCCAACCAAGAAGATCCAAATCAAATACAAAAACACCAAAAAATTCGAGAATAGAAAATTTTGAGTAAACTTCCCAAAATATATAAAATTCTCCAAATCCTATTTATTTTGACTAAGTGTCATAAAAATAGCCAGAAGATAATATCCAACCACAGTAAAATAATTATCCTTTGTAATAGCACACTATACTTGAAAAAATCCATTAACAAAGAAGATCCATATTAAGTAACAATTAAAGTAATCTGAGAGAAAAGTACATTTCTCTTATGCAGTTATAATATATGCAATAATAATAACAACTAATCTAGTCATAACTTCAACATTTTAACCAATAATAGTAAAATTAATAATTAAATTAGCAAAATCAGTAATAAATAAATTAATAATAGCAACTGCCATCTTAAATGAATTATAATTAATTAAATTCCCCATCAGAAAAAAATAATATTAATTCTTTCAAATTCACATTTGAAAACTCAAAATCTTTTCATGATGAAGAACCCTAAATATTATCTGCAAGCTAAATCAACAGCTCAAATAATATCGCATTGCAACAATAGCAACAATAAAATTAGCCACATTAACAAGCTAACTAATTGAATGAATAAAATAGTGGAACTCCAGTTGTATCTATGTTAAATTCTATTATAAGTTAAATGTAAAATCAAATAGAAAAATTCTATTTCTAAGTCTCTAGCATGCAGCAATTAACTAATTAGCAATTTTAAGCATAAGCTGCAAATAAAAAAAAGAAAAAAGCTATGAGATTTAACCTACCATCAAATCAAACACCTAATAATAAGTAAAGTTAGTAAGAGGTATCTAAAGAAAATAACAGATAATAAAGTATTACTTCTTCACATAATGGCTTCAAGGATAGTTAAAAAGACAATTTAAAAATGGATATCAGTCTAGACAACAAAATTTAAAACTTTCATTTATTTGGCAAATGCGAGTTCTTTTTTGATATTGCTAAAGAGTTTATGTATTATTATCCAAAGTATAACCAGTCAAGTATTATAAAGGCATATAAGAAATATTAATCTCTTATTATTTATTAATTGAAAGATTAATACATGACTAAAAAAGCTACTTCTTTAAAAATGACTATGCATCAAAGTATTAGAAAGAAATTGTATCCTAAAAAGACAACTTAAGGACCTTTAAAAAGAAATAACATGGTTTCATTTAACCATTCATGATTTTGTTTTGTAAAGTTTGATACTTGCTTTCTTTTTTAATTTAAAATTGTAAGTAGGTAGTATAGTACTATCAAAAATAAAGATTAATTTTATTTTTATTATAAATATTTGAAATTTATATTGTTTTTATATTTATACTATTAGTTAACCAATAAAAATACCTTTTTAAAACAAATATATTAATATTTATAAAAAAAGTTTATTCATTTAATTTATCGTTATTATAAATAAAAACAGCAAAAAAATAGTTGTTATAAAACTACCAATATGTATACTTTTGATATAAAATTGAATAGTATTTATTAGGGATCGACCGTATGACCATTTTAGTCATTCGGCCATATAACCATTTATCTGAAAATATTTATTTTTTGCTGGTTTTCCGCCTATTTTTAACCCCCTATAATAATATAAAAGATTTAACTCTTAACTTGAAATGTCCAAAATTAACAATAAAAAACTCATAAATTAACAAAAAAAAAATGATTAATTTCATTTATGATTGAATACTCTAAAAATTTTCTATTAAAAAAAATTTCAGGTAACGAATCATTTTTCGTTTTAATTATAATTTTAGATATTGATAAAGAATTTTATAAATAACAATATTTAATAGCTAAAACAGCTAATTTTAACTAACTAAACCAAGCGAAATATGAATTTAAAAAAATATTTCTATGTGTATAATTTTATTTTGTAAATTTTCATAAAAAGTATTCATTTTAATTATCTTTGTAATTAATTTTTTAGAAAAAACTATACAGATATAATATTATCTAATTGTATTTTTTTTTATAAATTAAATTAATTTCAAAAAGAATAGTTATAAAATAATAATAGTTATTAATCAAATAATTTGAAAATTGATTATTGAATAATTAACAAATCTCTCTCTTTAAAAAGTTTTTTTGGATTTATCCTATTAATATTAGATGATTTAGCAGAATATTTTTATTATTATTAATTTGTAATCTATAAAAAATCTATATAATATGTATTTATTATTAGTTTTATAAGTTTTTTTTATTTTTAACATATTATTTATTATTAATATTTAATCACATTTTAATACTAACTCAATAAATAAATTTCTTTTGATTCCTTTACTTTTAAAGTTTAAATATTTTAGAATTTTTTGGTAAAACCTTTTGCTTATTTGGTAAATAAGAAAAATCCTCAATAAAGCAAGAATACTAATAATTAATAGATTAATTGATAATATGTTAGTTAATGGAAAATTTACAAAACAAAAATTTAAGTTTTTATGAATTTATATATATAAACTTCACTAAATTTAATCTAATTTATTCTTTTTTTACTTTTAAGAGACTTGGGTTTTCTATCTTTGAGACATGAGAGTTTTTTTTCTTTAAAAGTTTTGGTTTTTGATAATTTTTTTGTTTAACTTTGAAATGACTTTGTCACAGTTATATGAGGGATAATAAATTTTAAATTACTGCATTTTATCAAATTAAAACTCCAAAGGACCAAATAAGTGATCAGAATAGTTATTGCCTCTGTTTATTTACTATATTAATAATTTTATTTCTTTCATAGATTCATTTTCAGATTCTAAATTAAGCAAATTGCCATCTTTCTAGTATGCAGAAGACGATGCTTTAGCACTTGGCCTTCTTTTTTTTTTATTTAACACACTGAAAAAAGCTTTTAAAATTTCGTAGTTTTCATAGTTTTCTTCATCGAGGAACATGGCAGAGCTTCTTATAGACTTTTTTGGTATTTATTTTTAATTTTCTAATACTGAGAATGACTATTATGAAGATTATTGTATCATTGGATATAAAACAGAGAGCTGATATGTTTTTTTCTTGCTATTTAATCTTTGAAGATTTTGCTTTTTATCATTTAAACCATTATCAAATTATGAAGACTTTTATGCCATCATCTCAGATATATCAATGCTTGAAAAAACAGACTGATTATCTTTTTATCCGTTTACAGCTGTAAGATAACTAGGAGATTCTGAAATGATTTATTATTATTAATCAGTATTACCATTTTGATTATAAATATTGTTGTTATTGATGAATTTATTTTTATTGCCTTCTTCATCATCATACATTTCAAACACTTAGCTAACATTTTAGCTACCATCTTCAGCATGGTTTATCATTATATTACTCGTAGGAGAACTAATCTCGTTTTTCATTTAGCTATTAAAGTTATCTGATAAATTTGAATAAATCCCATGATAATTTTATGTAAAAAGATTTTAAACATTTTATTAAGAAATGACTTGTGATGACCTAAACTGCGATGCACTTCCAACAACTGTTTGTCCCGACAGAGAATTTCGTTAAATGGGCTTTTAGCTTTCTTTTTTAAGAGATTTTCTAATAATATTATTACTGTTTTAGCTTCCACCTTCTATAGATGGAGTTAATTAATTTTATTCTTCTGAAATACGTACTTTTTCATATAATTGCTAATGTACAAGTGAACTAGGTGCTACGTTAACAAATGTGCTACGTGGGGCTTGTTATCTTTATTCTATTTAAGGAGAATGTTCTTCAATAGGAGCAAAAACATTTTCTAAATTCGATTTCAGCATAAGTTATTTAAGGTATTTTTCTTTTTAGGTTCTTTTAAAAAGCTTAACTTTAGGTAATATTTTATAAAAGTGAGAATCTTATAAGGTCAAAATTTGGTTGAATAGGTATCTTGTATTATTAAGATTATTTTGTTTTGTAACCTAGCGCAATCTAATCAGCATCAAATCGTATCTGATACTTTCTCTGATCTTTAATGAATTTTACTTTTCATACTTGTATCTATTTTTAAACTGTCTCTATTAAAAATCTGATAGCTTATAAAATATTCCTTTATCAGGGTAAAAGTGTAACATCTAGCACTTCAATATATCATGATTATATTGCAAACAGCTGTTGCAACGGTTAAATGAAATGAGCTCAAATTAAATCTTATCTTTTATCATGCAATATTTTTCCTAAATTTATATTTTTTTTTGAAGAAATTAAATACAAATAGAATTGATTCTTTTTTTTTACGTAATCTGGTTCAAAGTTTTTAATCACAGTTTGAAAATCTTCTATTGAAATAAAAGGAACGATATTGTTACTCTTACTTTAAATGCTGTATGGACATAAAATTCCTGATAAGAAGTATTTAAGGTCTGGATAAATTAAATTTCTTTCTCTTTACTTTAATAATTTAAAAAAATGTAAAAATGTAAAAAAAATGTTTATTTATTTTTACGTAAAGCTCAGTAATATTTTTCTAAACATCACCATATTCTATCAAATAGTTTAATAAATTTTAATTCCCAAAAAGATATAATTTGTCGAGAACAACATTTTTCTTTTAAATGATTTCATCATTTTAAATGACTCTTTCTTTCACAAAATATGCCAATTACTTTAAAAATGATTTGCTAAAGTTATTTTTGAATTATTCTACAGAATTCAGCAACGCATAATAACTCTCAATTTTTATTTTTTGCTTAAGTTATTATGGAAATTTTTCTAGAACACTTAATCCTATTTTGTTTTAAAATTATTTTTAATTCAAAAAAAATTCAATTAAATAGATAAAAACAAAACAAATTAGTTATTAGATTAAAGTTAAAAAAGATATACTTAAATTAGTTCAAATTAAATTTAATAGAGATATGCATTAATTTATAATTAAATTTAAAATCAAAAAAAATGTTTTTACCTTTTAGATTTTACTAAAATAAGCATTTATTCATGTTCTCTAGATATTATATGCAAATAGCATTTGTTTAATTGGAAACTTTTCTGTTATTCAAGAAAGAAATAGCATCTGAAATCTGTTCTTAATTCACATTTTTAAAATTTAGTTCCTTTATAACTGTGTTAAAGAAGATAATAAAAAAATATAACAAAATGATTATATCAAAAATATTGATAATATCTAAGTAAATAGCTTCCATGTCATTCAAATTATTAGTTAAGTCGCTGTATCTTTAGGATTAGCTTAGGAATCTAGAAAATATGATTCTAAAATTTTATTGGTAAATTTACAAGTAGCAATTTTAATTGTTTTAGTATTATTCGATCAGATATGTACTATAGAATTTGCAATTCTTAGAAATACTTGATATAATATTTAAACCACTTATACTACAGTGTACAACAAATGCTATGGTGATGAATAAACTTACATACTAGTTAATCATTTTATTTTGTATTTGAAATTTTATAAATAAACCATTATTGTTTAATCTGTTATAAATCTATTTATTTAAAGTTAAAAAAAAATTTTATTAGTTAAATCTAAAAATTTAAAAATTGAATTAAAAAAAAAATTGAATTTTAAATATAATTCAAAGTATTTGTTTACCTTTATAAATATAACTAGATAGCTTATGAGTAAGAATATTGGCTAAATTATTTCATTTATAAATGACAGTATTATTATAATAATACATATAGTATCTTATATTAGCTCTTTAGACATATATTCAGAGCAAATGTCTCTTGGAATGCAACTAATTTCTGATTAAGATATAACTGAAGTTTTCATTTTTATGAAAAAATCTACTATTATTGTAAGAAGCGATAACATAGCTAAATATAATATTAATTGGGTATTTTTTTAGTCTATTACATATTAAATCGAGATGTAAAATATTAAATAAGCAATTAGGACAATATAAAATATAGCCAAAAAAATGTCTTTTAAGATATTTAGTGGATCATACAAGGATAAACAAAAGTGTGGATTGATGATAACTATATTAAGCTTGATTAAGCATGAAAAAATAAACTACTGGGTCTTTTATATGCAAGTTATTTAACTTTTTGGGAACATACTTTAGTAAAGTTTTTCTTTCTCTTTAATAAATTTACTACTAATCGTATTATTTGAAAGGAATTTTGTTTCTTAATGTTTATCATAAAAAGAAGACTTATCAGAGATAGCTTTGTAGTGAAATTTTTTAGTCATTTTAAAATCACGACTTAAAATTCTATGCCACACTTATTTAACGAATTTCATAGCAACATTTAATTCTTTTTTAATTAAATAAACATTTAAGAGGTTATAAATAAATAATTAATTAATTAAAAGTAAAATGTTAGTTTATAATCTATATTTTTTATCATAAAAATATTAGTAAATTAAATTAATTACTCTCTTAAATGCTTAATTGGTTTTAACATTAACTTAGATCTTATTATTTTGGAGCATATAGCAGGTCATATTATTCATTTGAATAAGATTTTGTTTACTAGTTCTCTATTTATATGTTTTAGCAAAATGGCTTTTAATTTGATAAATCTTCTTATTTAATTTTCTATAAATGTTCATTTTCTTATACTTCATCTACATTATAAGATGCGTTCAAATTTTAAATACACTATTCTTTTCTCATTTTATCCAAATCTGTTTGAATTGATGTCTAAACAATAGTAGAAGATCTAGAGCTTTTATGAGATTTTTTATGCGATCTACTTTGTTATTATTGATCATCTTTATTCAAAAATTACATTTTATCACAAAAAACAGAGCTTTATTGGACATTAGAACTAAATAATGCATCATCCTAAAAATCATCGTTATCCCTTTTATTTTAAAAGGAAAATAGCTTCCTTCTGTTTACAGCTCCTTCTTTGTTTATAGAATAAAACTCTAATGGACTTTAGTTTTTTATATAAAAATATTAATAAGATGCAACTATTTAAATAAATAATTGAATAAATTACTTAAAGTTTTCATTCTCAATTTGTTAATTTGAAACATTGCTAGAGCTATTATTATGCATGAAGCTCATATTTTAACCCAAGCTGATGGGTATCATAGATTAATCTTTTTGAATCATAATATTAATTCTTAATAGAAATAAAAATCCCTATCACTTTTTAACTTAAATTGCTTAATATATTTGCTGTGATTTTGTTGTTCTACTTATATATGTATAAACCTTAATTATAAACAAATTAAAATTGATGATGATTTATTTATTATCCACAAAACTAGCAAAATTATCACATAAACATAAAGATTATAAAATGCATTATAAATACATCCCAAACAAAAAATTTTTATAAACTAATAGGTTTATTAAATAGAAAATTAACTAATGAGATCATTATAAAAAATATTCTAGCTTAATGCTCTGACGCTTACTTAAAACTAATTAATTATAGATAGTCTTTTCATTAAAAATAAAATAATTCATTAAAAAATTTGAATTTAAAATTTTATAAAATAAACATTTTACTGAAATGATTATTTATTGAATAATTTGGTTTAATTAAAAATTGCTAATAATAAAACTAATCTATTTTAATTGATTTGTATTATATTTTAATAAGCTTTTTTTTTAAAATATTTTGAGTTTTATAAGTAGAAATTATTATTTATGTTTTTAATAAAAATAATTAATAAAAGCAAATATAAAAATAATTTCATTTTTTTTCTATTAAAATTATGAAGAATTAAAACAGTTAGAATTAAGAAAAATAAGTAAACAAAATAATGAATCCAATGATTATTCTCTCTGTAATGGAAAAATATTTAATTAGAATAATAGTCTTTCTTTAAAAAAAAATATTAAATTAAGAATACACAAACACTAAAAACATAAAATTAATTAATTTTATGCAAACAATTTTTGAAAAATATTTAATTTTCAATTATCAAACTTTAAAGCAGACATTATTCTCTCTGTAATGGAAAAATATTTAATTAGAATAATAGTCTTTTTTTTAAAAAAAATAATAAATTAAGAATACACAAACACTAAAGACATAAAATTAATTAATTTTATGCAAACAATTTTTGAAAAAATATTTAATTTTCAATTATCAAACTTTAAAACAGACTTAATTTCTGCTAACTGAATATTTAGCTTTACTTTTTTTATATAAAATAGTGATGGAATACACTAAAAATAAAAGTAAATAATTAATGGTTTTAAAATTAAAATTAATAAGTAATCTTTTTTTTTCAAAATTTTTGATATTAAGCATTTGCTTTATAGTATAAACAAATTAATTAATAAAAATTAGTTTTTTTAAGCTTTTCAAATTAATTCTTAATTATTTTAAGGAAATCTAATAGAATTTCTAGGAAAAAATGATTTTTAATGTTTATGATTATTAACTTTTTTTTCTGTGCCATATTATTTTAATACCTTTTATTACTATCTTTATAAAATCTTTTTGTATCCTTTTATGATATTAGCCATATTAAATTTTGGGAAGTAACGTTGGTAGTCTTTAACACTTTCAAAACCTATGTCTAATTTACCAAATAAATTATTATTGGTAAATCCTAATAATTCATTGCTCTCAGAAATTAAAAACTCTTTTTACTTAGGAGTTTCTGTGTCTTATTATTTATTGCTTCTTGATTTTTATTTTTAAAATGATGACTTATTATCTTTTATACTTGTTAAGCTTTTTAAGTTTGGTTTAAGCTACTAATTATTCAATTATTTAGTGATTTGAACCTTCCAAGATTACAGTATTTATGAAATCTGTAAATAATTGTTAAATAGCATTTTTTCTTATGTATTTGGGTCTGTGATACTTTATTAATTAGGTTATCCATTTTCTTGATTTTTAAAATTTTTAAGACTGTTTTTTAGTTAATTTATTTAATTGCTTTGCTTTTGCAGTATTTGTAAAAATTTTCTGTCTATTGATTTTTGATTAAAAAATTTTTCTTGATTTTGTTGGATATTTAAAACTTATTTATGCTTATAAGAAGAAGGAGAGCTGTCAAGATTTGTATTATTATAAGTGCTAGTTCTTTCATCAATAGCATTTTCTTTTGAATAATTTAATCTCAAAAGCTCTAAGTGAGAACTGTTTTCGTTATTATTTAAAGCTGGAATATTTTGTTTTTATTCATTATATTTTTCTAATTCATCTGATTAAGTCATTTCATTTTTGGATACATCTTATGCTATTTTTGATTATTTCATGTATTCTAACACAAAATCTATTAATTAATGACTTAATTTTTTATTTTTTAGGTCAGACAGTCTTTTTCCTCCCGAATTATTGTATTTACTTAATTTATCTTCTTCATTTATTTAATTTAATATATTTTCTAATTGATTTTCAGAAATATTTTTCATATCTGACGTTTTTCTTTTTTTTTAATCACTAAGTATTGCCGATGAGGGTTTTCTTTAAACATTTTTTTAATCAGTTTCAGAAATTTCAATAGATTTCGAGCTTTAAGATGATTCTGAACTTGATGTTATATCTTAACTCAAATCAGAATCATAAGAATTATTTGATTTTTATAATGAAAAATTTTCATCAAATAGATCATTTTTATCTTTATTAAAATAGCTTTGACTTTTTTCATCCACAAAAATATGTTTTTTTATTTATTCATCTTTAATTTTAGGAAACCTCTTAAAAAAAAACTTATCTAATTCTTAGATTTGCAGAAGGTCAGATATGCAGATATCATTGTAATCTGGATAAATTTATTGAATCAGCTCTAACCTTTTCATTTTAAGGCTCATGGCAATGTGGACTCTTTCGGCTAAAGAGTTTCTCTCCTTACCTTTTTGTCTCATAAAAGATGAATCTCTCTACTAAATTGAAGAGTGAAAAACTTTTTTAGCAAACAAAAAATTTTATGCTTTGTAATGAATTTAAGGACATCCTGAAATATCATGACCATATTATAAGCAAGAGTAGCACTAATCAATAAACCGATTTTCAAATATCATTTAATCTCTTATCTAGCAAAACAACTCCTATATTTTAAAAATCAAAAGTAATTACAATTATGCTTATGAGTTGATATGTTTGTTTACAAAGTCATTTTAAAAATTCTTGATTAAATTTATGAATTATGAGTATGGCATTTAAATTACTGTAGAGACTGTTTTAGCTCTAATAGCTAAAGGAAGTGGGGTTTCAGTCAAAAATTATTTTAACCCTAAAGCTTTTCCCTATTTTTAATATTTAATAAATAAATCATTTAAAATTATTTTTTTAGTTGTTAAAATAAAAAATGTCTTATGTATGAATAATAATTTTTTAAGCTTTTATCTTGATTAAAATAGATTTATTTAAACAAATATTTTTACTATAAAATTAATAAATATTTGAATTAATTATTTAATAAAAAATAATCTTTAAAATGAAATAAGTATTTATTTCTATTAAAAATAAATTATGTTTTTATATAAGTTTATAAATAAATAATAGTCATTTTATCAATTCCAAGTTAAAAAATTAAGCTAAAATCTAGAAATAAAATAAATTTATTTGACTATTAAATAAAATTATTCTTAAAAAACTAAAAAATTAAGCTAAAATCTAGAAATAAAATAAATCTATTTTTAAATAAAATTATTCTATCCGAAAAATATTTGAGATTAATTTTTAGTTAAAAATTTAATTTCTCTTAATAAAACAAATTAAATTTAAAGAGTTAATTTACTTACTTAAATTAACTAGAGTGATCTTTTATTCTGCATATTTTGAAAAAAGTATTCTGCCTCTCCTTTGATTATGATAACTAAAAATGAAGGTATTTAGTTTTCTATCATGATTTTTTCTCCTGGTCCTAATCTTTTTTCCTCCATGAACTTAGCACATATATTTATAAACTCATTGCTAAAATTTTTACTAAACAAAGCTATCTATTTAAGAATTTTATAATTTCTCTCTTGTATAATCTCTTCTTATAAATCTGGTGGACACTTTGTGAAGATTTGTTAACCTTTTTGATTAATTATATTGTAAATGCTATAAAACAAATACAAAAATAAAATATAAAATTGTAAAATTACCATTTTACACAACTTCCTCTTATTGTTCATTCAAATATTCAAAATATTTTAAGACTCTTAATTAAGTTTCTTAAGAGCACTCCATATAGTCTAGATAGGATTGCAACTAATATTAATTAGATTCAAAATCTTTCTATTTTTTATGTCTTTATGCAAAAATATTCCCTATTGTATTAATACAATATGCAAAAGTAGCACAAGATACAAAAGTCATTCCTATCACATATATTTTTTCATAAATATTTATAGGAACAACATCACCGTACCCTATTGTTATCATAGTAATGATAGAGAAATAAATTGACCACACATAACGAGTAAACCAGTCTTAATTTGATAGACCTGAATAGTCAATCCAAGAATTATAATATTCATTTCCATATTTTGAACGGCTTTATAATTAGTTAGTATAGTCTCCCACCAAATGGAACCCACATCCTGTTAAGTGAGCTAAAATCACAATTAATAATATAAGCTTTAAAATTGATGTTATAAATGCATATCTGTATGAGAGACGAAAATGCTAATCTATTTTTTTAATCTTAATTTTCATCTATTTTTAAAAAATTTTATAAAAGCAAAAAATATTTTTATGATAAATATTTACTTAATTAATTCTTAGAAACATAGCAAGGAAATCAATCATATTTGAACCAAAGTATAAATTAAAGGAGAGCAAAAGTGTACAACTGAAATCAATCCAAAATTTATGGCGAAAATAATTGACAGCAATCTTATATTTATTCATAATTGGTTTTCCTAATTCGTAGTATCCTGTGTGAAATCCAAAAATAATGTCAATACAAAAGCAAAGAATGGGTATCTGATAAAGTATAATCGAATAATATTAAGAACTTAAATCAACTTATGAAAAGCACCCTTTTATTGGTAGGATCATGAGCTAAAATATGAGTAAGGATAAAAAAAATATTTCCCAAAAAATTATAATTAAAGTTGATGGGTTTAAAGCTTTTGATCTTTGCCATTAGAGGTATACGTAATTATGAAAACAATTAAAGATTCTAACTTTCAATGATGCAACTTTTTGTTGCTAAATTCCTTTTTGTAGCATCAGAACATTATTTCTACGTTTGATAATATTTTCTTCATTATTAAATTCATACATTTTATTTATATAGTTTAAATCTATTATTGATTTATCAGATATAATTTGTAGTTATTTTTTTTGAAGTATTCTGTAGTCTTAATATGCTACTCGTAGTAATAATTACTTCACGAATTTAATTAAGTATGTAAGAGAAATCAAGTGATTTTTATGAGTATGACCAACGATTTGTTATTCTACTATTACTGCAGTACTTTTGTGGAAAGATTAATTATTTTATTTAAATTTAGAGGCTTAGTTAACTTTTGTCTATAGTTCTTCTTATTCTGTTTACATAAAAGTGTTATATCTAAAAGGCTTTCTATTTCGAAACATGCTTTTTTATGATCCTATACTGTTATCTAATAAATTAACGTCGTTTCTTTTCCTTTCTTTTTAAAATATGCTAGACACTGAATCTGTATTTTGAGAATCTCTAAAAGTGTTTGTTTTTTAATCTTCTTAAGATTTATTTGCAATATTATCGTATTCCTTATCTTGCTGTAGCTGGTAATTGCTTTAATCTTTGGTTTAATATTTAGTTAGATGAGCCCAATTAAATTAATTAAATAAATAATTAAAATAATACCATCATTTAAGAAAAATCTTGACTTCCGTTATCCATGAGTACTTTACTAAATATTTTTGTAAATTTTATTAACTCATTGTGACTAAGTAAGTAGAATTATTAGATGCAAAGTAGGCTTGATATAAATTTTAAACAAACAAAATATTGATACTTTATCAGGATATTCAGAATACAGAATATCTTAACTTGTGGATTTCGCCCTAGAAAAAAAGTTACTCTCTTATTAGGAGTTAAAAAGTCTTCTTCTATTATCAGCGCCTTCGTTATTAATGTAATAGCTAGGGTCCTCTTCTTTTTCCTAATTTGGATGGCTAGAAAATGTATGATTTTATAGATTATAAAGATATTAATTATTTACTAAATCATTTGCTCTATAGTCATGTCTTTTAATAAGTTCTATTCCATTTTGCTGTCTTCATTAATTTTGATAAAAATTTCATTTTATTTTATCTATTTATTCATTTTCAAAATTCTTAGAGATTTATTTCTACTAAAGTCTTAGTTTTTAACTACTTTTTCCCTTCGTAATTACAAATAGAAATGATAAATAAATTAATTAATAGAATAATAGCTTTTATGTTTAAATTAATCAAATATTGTAGTTTATATTTTGCAAAGTAAAATGAAAGCTATCAATTTTTTTTTAAAAAAAAACTTAAAATATAGGAACAAATATACATATTTATATAAATATATATATAAATAACTAACTGGTCTCAAATTGAAATAGAATTAATAAAATAAATAAAATATTAACAAATATATAAACATGGATAATTAATTTTAATTTTTTTTAATATTGAAGATAGACTTTTGTTAAAATAGAAAAATAATAGAGAATTATTTTTGACAATTTTTTATTATCAATTTCTTAAAATTCCAAAAAAATTATGCCAAATATTCATGGTTTTGACTTTAATAAAAACCATTACAATTAATTCATAATCTTTCACTAATAACTAAATGTCATATCAACATCTTAGTGAGTTAACTATCCTTTCAAATCATTAATCTTAAATACTGATGATTAAAATGGCCTTTATTGCTTTTTGAACATAGTTGGAGATTGACTTATTTGTTATTGTGTTCCAGTAAAAAATTTTAATTTTTTAGGTTTTATTCTTTAGTTTAATTAGTATTTCATTTTTTTATAGCTTTTTATTATACTTTGCAAATTAAATTGAGGATAATATATTTGAAATTCTTTTGGCTTGTCAAATTTAAATTGTAATTTGCCAAAAATATGGTTTTGATCAGCTTTGTAGTTATTGTTTGTCATAGTATTTTAAATAGACTAAGTATTTTAGGGGACTGCTATGTTTTCTATTTTTATTTTATTTTCAGATCCTATTGTTATTGTATTAGTATCATTTTATTATTATTATATCATCCCTGATTCTTCTTTACTGCTTATCGAATTACTATATAAAAGATCTTTGTTCGATCTCTTAATTTATGTTTAAGACCTTTAATTTTATTATTGCTGCTACAAATTTATATTTGGAGATAGATATTAAAAAGTATTATTTTATAATTTATTTGGAGCTATTGATTTTTTAAATTATTCAAATAAATTTTCAATTAAAACTGTGAATGTTTGTTACTCTTATTACTATTGAAGTATTTAAATTTGTTGTGCTTATTATACTACTTTTTTATTTCTTTTTTAATTTTATTCAATAAAAGATATTATTGATTGCTTTTCATTATTCTTTTCTGTTTTCTTACTAGGATTAGAATTCTGTTAAATATCTGATACTCCAAGTTTAGATGTTTTAGCTTAAGATTATTCCTCATCAGTTAGATTTAAATTTACACTTTAATGCCTCTTTTCAGTTTAATTGCTTGAGTTATTGTTACTTGCAAGACTGTTACTTTACATTCTGTTTTAAAAAACTAAATTTTAAGACTTATTTTTGCTGCTTTAGCTGTTAATTGAAAGATTCCTTACCAACTAAGGCTTTGTTCCAGATTAAGAATTAAAATCTTACAGAAATTGCCCTTAATATTATATTATTAAATCGCTTTATATATTACTTTATTCTGAATTCTATTACTATTGTGGTTATTGTATATTCAATTTAGCTTATTAATTATACTTTTAATCTTAAAAATCCAATTTTTTCTCATCTTCAATTTCATTATTTACTTTTTAAGAAGTTAATTACTAATCTTTGATTTCATCGAATGTTTCAAATTGTTATTACACATCACCATTTTACTATTAAATATTTTTTTAAGAGCTAATACTTACAGAATAAATCGATTTATCAAAGTCTTGAGACTGATTTTGCTACTATCTAAGATACTAACTAACTTCTTTCTAATCATCATTAAGCAGCCTTGCTATTTTGGATTCTTCAGAACTAGATGAAGAAGATAATGACGAAGATTCAAAAGAAGATGATGAATTTTCTTACTATTATTCATCATCTTCATCATTAATATTTATTTAAGTATCAAAATTATAATGCTCTGATTATTCACCTAAATTAACTTAATTAAGTGATTTTTACTAGCTAAGAACTGCTTATTTATCATAGAAAGATTGTTTTCTTAAAAATTTTAGCTTCTTTTATTTGATTTTAGGACATCTTCTAAAAAAATCCCTATCTTTTTCTTGATACTATATCTCATACAATATATTTATATCTTTATAGTCTTTATAGATTTCCTATACTGCAGTCCATCTATATAATTTAAAGTCTAATTTTACTTATTGATTATAACCCAAAGTATTATATTTTTAAGATATTTTTCTGAATTGAGACATTCTTTTTTCTTAGATCTAATTATGAAATATTCTCCTGCTAAATGTAGACCTGTTAACAACATAATGAAGCTAACCACATAAATTTAAATCGTGTCCATATTATCCACAGCTGCAGCATTTAATATAATATCTTTTATCGTTCTTAAACTAATCCCTGACCATGCAAAACTTTTCCTAAATTAAAAATTAAAAAGATTAAATAAAGTAACAGCACAAAAACAAATTCAAAATTTACATAATCCAAATCAATTTATTTGATTATGCTTTAAAACTCTTCATAAGAAATAAATGCCAAAGTTGTTGCTGTTTTAGCTTAAATAGATACTTCTGAGGTTTATCTTGTTAAAAATTATTGGAAACCTATTAGCTTGATGTCTTTCTAATTTTTTTTATAAAATCTTTTGTTATATCTAAATATAAAAAAAATAATATTTGCTTACTGATATTTATAATAACGCCCTTTAACATTCTCTATCAACCGTTGAATACTCTACGATTCCTTGAGTTATAATACATAAGTTATCAACTGTCTATCCTTGTATTATGAACAATTCTCCAGGACTTAGTATTTTTTCCTTCATTCTTAGACTTACTTTGTCAATGAGTTGAGTAGTAAAATTTTCTTTTAAAATTGGGATGTTGTTTAAAATTTTACCAAAATACTGCTAAATTAGTTCTTCTCTTAATTCTACCGAGCACTGTTTTAAAATCAACTCTCCTATTTATTAAACAAACATAAAAAATAAATAAACTTATAGAAAAATAAAAAATCAGATAACCTTTTAGCAAAATCTCATCCCTCTAGTCCTCCAAGTACTCTAATTGCTTCAGTATTTTTATTTAAGTATCTTTTTTAATAGATTTTATATTCATGTAAGTTGATATGTCATATAACTTTTTTTGAAATTATTTTGACTTTTATTAAATTTCTGTAAAAATTGAGCCAATAGTATTAACACAATATCCAAAAACACCGCAAGAAAAAATAGCCATCACTATCACATATATCATTTCATATACATTTATTGGATAAACATCCCCATATCCTATTGTTATCATCGTTATAATGGAAAAGTAAAATGAATATATGTATTTTATATTCCAACTATCTTCCACTATCCCTTGTTTCTTCACCCAAGTGTTATTTGCAAGATTCCATTCTTAAGTTTTTTATGAAACTAAATAAAATCCACAACAATTTATGTGTGCAACAAAGAGTACTAAAACAATCAAGCTTACCAGATCATAGAACATTGCAAATTTGAATTAAATTTAAAAATGCTAATTAATTTGCTGTTTCTTATCCCCTATCTATTCAAAATAGTTAAATAAATAATAAATTTTCCAAAAGAAATTATTTAATACATTTTTAATAAAAAGAAACATTTTCAAATTATTTTTATTTAAAATTTACTTGCTACAACCTTAGAAGGAGAGCTAGAGAATCTAAAAGAGCTGAATTGAGACCTAAATTGGCTATCAAGATAAGAGTACAGAAAATATCAATCCAAAGTTTGAGCTTCATATAGTTTTCAGCAATTTACTTTTTATCAGAAACAACCATTCCAAACTGATAAAAACCTTTATGAAATCCAATAAAGATATCTATAGTGAAACAAATTATTGGCACATAATACAATATAAACATCCATTCTAAATTTGAAAAATCAACTTCAAAACATGTTTTTATTGGGATTAACACTAGTTATATAATTATTATAACAAGTAGTATACTTTCCCAAATTATTAGTGCTTTCGAATTAGGCTAAAATACTTTTAATTCTAGAATTATTTTTAATAAGTAACTTAAAATTTAGCTTCTCTCGATGAAATTTTTCTTAAAATGCTTTTAATTTTAATTAATAATTTTTTTTTCAAGCAACTTTCTCCTGTTGAAAAGTAAGTCACCTCTCTCTTCTTTATTCTTAGCTTCAAAATTAATGGCAGGATAATAAGATTTATCATTTATAATATTTAATTAAAACTGTTGTAACACATTAAAATCTTTTTTGGCAGTCTAAATCAGAAGAGCTTTTACAAATTTTTAAACATAGGCTAATATGATAAAATAATTTTTTTTATAAACTTCTTATTAATATAAGATAGGACTATTTCCATTTAACATACCATTTGTTATTGTTTAGTTCATTATGTTAGCCTATGATATATACATGCTTTGTTCGTCGTTATTTACAAATTTACTATTTTTCATGTATTTTTCATATGCACTTTGAAGAAGTTTACTCCTCTTTTTGGAGCCCTCTCTTTAGAAAAACTTTTAGCTATTTTGATCATTTTACAAGGAATTTAAATCTTAATTAATTTTAAAGCTATTCACTATTGATGTTTAATATGGCGATGAGGTATTCATATCATTATTAAAATTATATTTAAGACTGTTTAAGTTAACTGAAGAGTTAATTTTCTTAAAGTTTAGTGTTGAATTGGTATTTTACTTGCTCCTCTGGCTTCTGTAAAAACAAACATAAAATAAATTTAATCACAATCAAATCAATAAAAGGCAAAATTTTATTTTAATTACTCCATAGGCAAATATCGTTAAGATTCATCATCAATTCCTTCTAATTCATATTCTTCTTCACTGTTTTATTTGCAAATATCCATTCTTTCAGACTCATATTGAAATAATTATCTCCTATTTGTTGCTCCATCAATATTTAGTAAGTAATTTGATTTTCTGTTATTTATTATATATTAAATACATTAGCAATACCTAAAGGATTGATCTAAATTTCATAAACATTGCATTAATTGATACTAAAAATTATTTTTACTCAAATAGAGATAACTAGGGAAACTGATTTTCTTAAATTTAGTTCACATCATTATTCATTTTATTTAATATAGAGAAGAATCTAATATTCTACGTTGAAAATAATCTAAATACCTCTACTTTATTGTATTATGAATAATTTAACTTACACAAAAAATTGTATCAGTATTTATTAATTAAAAATGACAGCATTTAAATTATTAATTAAACTTAAAAGAAAAAACGTGAATCTTACTTTGATATAAAAATAAAATAAGTAGTAATTATACAATAAAATGCAAGAAATGTTAGAAAAAAAAATACTTGTGCAAAATATTGAAAATAAGTTTAATTTAAAATAAAATCATATTATTTTATATTTTTTTAATTCCTAATTATTATGTTTATCAATGAGCAAAAAATGAACTTGTTTTTTTAATCTTAGGAATTTCATGATTATTTTAAGGTTAATTATTAAGAAAAGACCTTTTCCCTTATTATTAATCTGAATATTTTAAGCTTTAGTTTGAAGTAAGCTGATTCTAATCAGTACTGCCAAATTATTTACTTTAGTATTATAGTTATTTTTCTTAGTTTTAGATTTGCATATTTGTATTGACATCTCTATCTATAGTATTATATTAATTATTTGTATTGTTAGAAGTATTTTATTTATAAGATAGGCAAATGTTATTTTAATATGAAATAATATTGTTTGCATGTTAATTCGGATATTCTATTTTTACAGTACCATTCTTATTTATTTCTGTTTTATAGTTGTTTTCTGATTCATGATGGTGATGATTTTGTGATACAATTTATTTTTAATTTTATTATTTTTAGTATACTTGTGCAGTCTATAGTTAACCAATTTAAAATTATCCTTCACTAGAATTTGATCTCAAAAAAGCACGATCAGCAGGGAGGCTAATTTAATTAGTTTATTGTTAAGGAATTTATTGCTAATTTTTAAGAATCATAGTTGTTTTTGAATCTAATTAAGGCTATAAGATAAAATTTTTATTAACAACATGTTAAGAAATTGGCTTTGAATAGTAATTAAACTAGTCAATATTTTAAACAGGTTTTATTTAAGTAATTTTATTTTATTCAGATACTTTTTATGATATTATCCTATTAATATTTGTGCTAACCTACAGTGGGTTTCTAAGATTTAAAAAAATATATTTATATTAATTGGATAAATTAAAAAAAAAACAAATAAATAAATAAATACATTCTTTAGTAATAAGATTGCTGTGAAGAGTATTATTGCTAAATTTAATTTTGGTTCATTTATGAGGATGATGCAGAATTATTTGAATTTGAAGAAAAAACATGATATTGAGATGAATTATTATTCCCTTGATTTTTTTTATCTAAATTTTCTTAGTTAAAAGTGTTAGACTCTTTGAGCTTATTTGTATCGCTTTATAATATTTAAGCTAAATTTATTTAATATTTACTGCTTGTTTGAATATTATTTTAGCTTGGTTAGCATCCCATATTTTTGTTTAAAGAGTTAAAAGGTTCTTAGACGACGTTATTATTATTGCTGTTGTTTAAAATTTATATAGGCAATTAACTCTGTGCAGGTTACTATATCTGATACTAATTTAAAACCATGTTATTTGTATTTTGGTTATTTTGTAGTATATAACTTGAACGGTTGTATTAAGCTTATTGTTAATTTTGCTACCCTATTTACTTAAGCTTATATTCTATTTCTCCTACCTAATTTAATAAAAAAGAATCATTAAATTTTAATTTAATGTTCTCAATATATTTCTATATTGATTAAAAGAATTTGGTCTTACCTTTGAGATATTTTCTTGCTTATCTGGTGAAGTGGTATTGGAATTCACTGTTTTTCCCTAAATTTTTTTGCTTTCTGATTGTGGCTAATATTTTATAATTGGCATTTAGCTAACAGGCTTGATTACTTGCAACTAACAAGCAGAAGATGATAAGTTATTTTGATATTAGGGTGAGCTATTGAGTATTTAATTACGCTCGTAGTTTGTAGATGATATAGGACTGTAAGATATTAAGTTATTCTGTTATTAGCACCTATTAATTTCTGTTTCATTTTTATCGTTGTTGTTACCATTCTAAAAATTATTATTTTAGATATCGTTATTGCTGCTACAATTGTTATAGCTCAACGATCCTAAATCTTCATCCTTAAGGCATATCTTAGCAACATTCATTTTGTGAATTTTATTCATTATTATTTGCTTAACGTCTCTCTCTTGTTAGTTTATTATGGTACTTTTTCCATAGTACTTCGATGTTGTTAATTCAACATCATCTAGACCTCCCTTTTGAATGCTATTTATCATTGAATTTTATTCTACTTATATCTAAGAGGATGACAATTGCTAGCAAGAGGATATGTTCTCACTAGAATTTTACTTATTTAAGTTGTTTCTTTGAGATATACTTTTTAGATCATTTTATTTTGGAGACATTACTTTTATCTAGTTATGAATTTTTGAGCTAGATTGAGGATTCTTTTACTACTCATTTAATAAACTGTTAATGGTTCTCTCACCTTTACCAATTGACTATGAAGCCATCACTGCTTGATTGCTCAATGAATGATTTTGGATAGCTTAATTGCTTTAAAGATTACAAGATAAAGATGGTTAGATTGTTTAAGGTATGGAGTTATTTATACTAGAAGTCTTTGAATTATGCTAGTTTAGTTAACTAGAAGAGAGATTTTAAGTAAATCCTGGGGAAGTATAATAGTTGCTTGGGTTAATAACTTTAGATGTAAAGTTATATATTTATTGAGATGAAGTTTATGAACAAACTCCATTATTTACAAGCGAATCTTCCTTTTATAATTTAAAATTAAAAGATTAACGAGAATCATAAATTGAATTTCTTTTATTCTCAACTGCTGAAAAGCTAGAAGTTTCAAAACTAGATATATTATTTATATCTTGAGCATTATTTTGCACAAAACTTAATGGCTAAGTTGATATGCACTAATAGTTAGTTGGCTGAAAGCTATTTGAGGAATTATTACTTAAGTTACTCATGTTGAGATTCTATTACTACTGTTACTACACTTATTGCCTTTTATGAACATTCTAATATTTGTCAAGAATCGTTTAAAAATGAGATTCATCTTTGTTATCTTAACTGCTTCTGTGCTAGCGATTTGATAAAGAATTAGAGCTTTACACATATTAATTATTATTTGGAGTTACTTATGAAATAATTATTTGTGAGCTTTTTTAATTTTGCTACTATTAACTACTCTTAGGAGTCTTTCTCCCTGCTGTTAGCTATCTCCCAGAAAGTTATTCTTGTTTTACCAATTCTAAGTTAATTTTTGATAGGGGGACAGATTTTTTAATAAGAGTTTTCTGCTTTTATTTGTACTCTCCTGCAAATGCATTCTTATGAATTTTTTGAGAAATTGTATTTGAACTGCTATTATTTTCAAAAGGTTTCTTTGTAGAATCAGCTCTAATTTTATATTTAAGACATAATAAGAATTATATAAACAACTTAGATGAATATTTTATATTTAATTTATCATTAAAAATATATTTACGATCTTTCTAAGCTACTACACCACTCGTTCTTTTGAGTAAACTAGTAATCAGCAAATTATCTGGAAAGAGATGAAGTCGCATTGTTATTCGAGCTATTTGAAATTTTTGACTCATTGCCTATATTAGAAGAAGACAGCTAACTAGAAGCATGCTATTGTCCTTGTAAAACTGGACTATGAAATCTAAAGGGAGACTAACTCCTATTATCAAAATTATGTTCCTTTTTAATTTTTGACCACTCAGATTCTAAGCTATTCAAATTGGTAGATTAAATTAATTCCTTTTCTCTGCTTTGAGATCTAGCTACTGAGCATTAATTGAAAACAAGATTGCTCAGCTAGTTGAATCCGATGCTATTTTAGCTGGTATTCTATTCAGTTACCTTTGGTGAAAAATCTTTGGGAAAATTGCACTGATAGCTACTAAAATCGCTGTTCATATTAGAAGGAGTGTTTTTTTCCATTTTTGGAGAAGATTACTCAGAGTGAATAGTCCTTGATTTCAATCTCTAAAGTATCCTCTCTTAATTTAGGTCTTTTATAGCAGGAATAAGTAAAACTGAACTTGTGTTTTTGCTTTGGTTATTGGAAGAATTGAGTTCTTAGTTTTATGCTATAAGCCTCTCAACAGATTATTGCTGCTGTTTATTTTACTACAATTTTGAAATTTAATCTACCTATTAATAATTTTATTAATGTAGGATTTATGCTATCTTAGTAACATTTCTTCTGCTTCTATAATCTAAGTCATTGCATGGCTACATAGGTGCTAATTAAGTATTACCATAATGCTTTTATGGAGCATTTTCTAGCTCCTTCATTAAATTAATTCCATTTACAGATTTAAAATTATTATCAAAATGTAGCTATTTCATAATATTTGAATATTGTTGAATGAATGACTTAGCTGTTTAATTTGTATATTTAATTTAACTATATAAATTTTGAAAGATATTAAACAGATGAAATCAATCAATCAATATTAGTTATTTTGATTTTTATCAATTGATTGCTTGTTATTAGATTTTCAAAACTAAAATTTGATTAAAGATTAACAGAATTTTTTAATTTTTAATATCAGCTATTATTCAATCAAATAAGAGGATTATCTATAATTTAAAATAATAACAATTCATTTCAAACAGTACGTACACAAATATTTAAATAATTAAAATTAAAATAATTAAACTTCTTCATTTTTTTCTTCAAAAAATAAAATCTATAACCATTTTCAATATATTTTATTAAATAAAAATTCTATTAATAATTTAACATTATTTTCATAATACATACTAACCAATATTTAAATTTTGGAAGATAAAATCATTAAACATATATAGCTTTTAAAAATTGAATTGGAATTATTAGATATGTATTATAATTTAATTCTCAATAGTAAATTTGATATAAATTAATAAATAAATTGAAAGGAGAACTTTAAAATAAATATTTATTTGAAAATAAAATTTTGAAACCATAAGCGAACCTTTAAGTAGTTTATATTTATGAAAAAAAAATAAATATATCTTTTAGCAAAATTAAATATGATAAATGCTCATAAATTCTTGCTGATTTTAATATCTTTTAAATACACTGATTACAGCCTTAATTTAAAAAATAAAAAAGCATACTTTAATCTCATTAGACTTTAATGAATGTATTTTTACTGTAATTGAAACTATAATATTTAAAATAAACAAAAAATTCTCAGCAAAGAAGTTCAAAAAATTCATATTATTTTATCATTTAAATTCAATTTATTTTTATAAACTATTAAACTTAACTTAATTTTTACAAATACTTTTTATTTGTTTTTTAACTTCATTCATTCAATTAATTTCTAAATTTTATATTATGTATGTTAAATTTAAAAAAATTACTTGTTTATTATTACATAAATAGAGAACAATAATTTTAAATGATAATAATACATTAACAATCATAGAATTGTTTGTTATCAATGGAAAACTTGACTTTATTATTAAAATAAGTTTATTTTAATTATATAATATATATTAATAAAAGTTGTAGACTAAGCCTTTGATAATCAAAGTAAAAATTAAGAACTAAAAACAAATTTTTAATGCATCAAATTAATCTTTTTACTTTTATAAAAATAACGAAATCAAAACCACTTTTTGCTCTTTTATTGTTACTATTTTAGTTATTGCTCTTATCTTTTTCTTTCTGCCTCTTCTTCTTTTTTTCTTTACTCTTCCTATTTCTTTCTAATTTCTTCTTACTTTCTTAGTTTTTCAATGATTAGTGAGTGGTTAATATATTTTTCAAGTCTAAATTCGACTGGATAGCTTATTTCTACTTGTTAAAGATTACCAACACTGTCATAAGATTGCTTTTCTATGTATTATCCTTGAGCATCTAATTTATCTGAATTTAAAATAGATTTAAAAGCTTAAATTATTATATCTTCTATAAATTCATTAAAAGGAGTATCTCCAATATTTTATGCTGGCTCAGTGCAAATTAAATAATTTGTCTCTGGTATTTCAGCTAGCTTATATTCCTTTTATTTACTTACTATTTTTTTTGCAGCCTATTATTATTATTCATCATTTAGCTCTATACCTACAATATAAAGTTACTATTCAGAATCTTGAGTAATTTCAGGATCTTCATATACAATTTTTATCTGATTGTTTACTTTTATAAAAGGCGAGCACTCTTATAATAGCTTCTCAAATATTTATGGTGATCTTTAAAATTTTCCCTAATAATTCTTATACAAAATGTATCTCTTTTTGAGTAAAGCTTTCTCTACTTTAACTCTTTAATGATGCTTTGAATACATGTACAATCCATACTAAAATATACCAAAAATTCCTACCATTTAAATAATTGTCTTCATTTTTAAAAATAGGTTTCTACTTAATTATTTTTTAAAATCTAATCTAATTTTTTTTATTAAAAATTTTTATTTAAAGATATATTTCTAAATTTTACTCTAAAGCTTGCTTAAAATCCTTTTTATTTAAAATAATAAATTACTGATTCAAAAAAATAGAAAATTAGAACTTATTGTAAAAAAAAATGATTATATATTTATTTAAATATTTTATAAAATAAATGATTAAAAATTGATTCATTAAAAAATATGCAATAAATTATTGATTAGCTTTAGAAAAGTATAATATTCTGCTTTAAAATTATTTAACAACTAGAAATCCTTTTAACTTATTATTTATGAATTCCACTGGAAATAATAAATAAATTAATAAATTTTAAATACTTTGTGAGATATTGTTAATTTATTTAAAGAATTAATTGTTTTTGAAATGTAATATCAAAATAGTCCAACCTATAGCTAATATATAGGAAGTTATTAGTAAACTCCTTATGTTAGTCCTATTTATTAACGAGGCAATCATCTTTTAAGCACATATCAAAGCTGCTAGTATAGACCTCTACCTGTTGAGCAGAGAGTAGTTTATAATAATTTTAATCCTTAAGTTTAGTTACCTCCTCCTGTCTAACCTTCACAGAAAGTATTCTACCCTACAAATAACATTGTGTCATGGCATCCTTTAGAAGCAAAAATTTAAAATGAAAATTCTATTTACTAAAATTATTATCAAGATCCCTACATTATTTAGTAATAGAATCAGTTTTAGTAGGATTAAAACAAATAATATTATAATTAGTAATTTTCAAATGAAAAAAATACTTTGGTTAAATAAAAAATTGAATCAAGCAAAAGCAGTAAAATCTCAATAAAAGACAATTTGGATGATACTCCTAAATTTGCTACAAATAAATTAGCTTAAATGATTAAAAAAAGCAAAGTAAGTAGTAAATTTTTAGTTTAGAAAAGCTCATTTTTTATTTGTATTAAATTCTTAGTAAATAGGAGGAATAAATATAACTGATTAGTTAATTGGAGATGAATTAATTGAGAAGTCTTAAAAATAACAAGAAGATGCTAAGTCTGAAAACTATAACAATAACAACGATGATAGTGATTCTAATGAATCTGAAGAAGAGTATGAGGACGATTAAGAATATGAAGATAGTTAAAGCGAGAAATTATTTCAAAGCAGTTTATTTAATATACAAAACTCACAGGGATTTAATAGAAAAGGTAATAACTATCTATATGGTTCAAATTTGGCAGGCTTAAGAAATGATAAAATTACTGATTATAATAGATTTGAAACTCTTAATAAATTTGAAAAAATAAATAAATAGCATGCCAATTTGTTTGCAAATGACTTTAAAGAGGATTTGTAAATGAAAGATATTTTTGGTGATAACACTTTGTATATAGATAATTTCAACTTATCAAAAACATCTGGTACTGTTCCTTCTTTTATATGGCATAGAACAAGAAACAATATAAGTCAGAATATTCTCAGAGAAGAAGAGGAATTATCATCAAATAACGGAGATGATAATGATGATTACGAACATAAAAATATGCTCTGGGAAGCAAGATATTAAAAGATACATGAACACGATTACATGGTTTCGTATGCAAATAATATATTTAATCGCAAGAGTAACTATCTAAAGTTAGGGCTTTTTTACAAATAAGCTTTGATAAAATATTAGTTTGATAGATCTAAAGAAATTGTATATTACATGTACTCTTATGATGAGTATTCGATTAAAAAAAAAAAATCAGAAATGACTCAAGATTAGTAAGGAATTAATGAAGATATAGAAATTAAAATCAACACTTTAGAGGATATAGATCAAGATGATGAGGATGAATAGCAAAATAATATGCAAGAATTAAGCATATTAAATAGCTCATAAAAACAAAATAAAGATTTATTGCAAGTTACTCAATTATCCAAATCTAAAAGTGGAGATCATGATTCAAGCAAATAAGGAAATTAAACTTAAAAATCTGTTGTTTTTAACTAATAAAACAAATCAAGAATTTTAAATAATTCTTAACTAGCAAGTAGTAACTTAAAGTCTAAAGTTTTAACCACGACCACCTACAATAAATAAGATTTAAAATCTCAAATCAAAGACCAATATGACTTTTCTAAATCAAACTTTTTGAGTAACTAACACTTTAGGAATTTATCTTATTTAAATCATTTTGATTCATATTAAAAATCTATTTACATTTTTCTTATTTATTAATTTAAATGTTAATAAAAATAACCTAACTTGTATTTGACTTATATAATAGGGGATTATGAGAAAACTCACTTTGGTTAATCGATTATGGAAGAAGGGGATGAGCAGGAATCGAAAAGCATGAATAAAAGCTAATTAAGTTTGGAAAGAACAAATAGTAACAATACAAGCTAATATTCTGACAACTACAGCAAACTTTATAAAAGCAGGCCTGCAAGTCAAAGAAAAAAAGTTGTTGAAAAGAAATCAGATGATTTATCTAAAATAAAGAATAAGAAAAACAAATATAGATTATGGGAAAAGAATGCTGTAAGTGAAGATAAGTTTCTTGATTAGGTTAGAGATTCAACAATTGAAGCCGTGAAAAGAGCTAGAAATATGGAACAAGCTATAGTAGAAAAAACTTCTATTTTTGAACATCATGCTGCATCTTTATTGAACCAACATTTATCTTAATTGAGAAAAGTGAGTAAAGAATAGAAAAAAGAGCTTTATTTAAAAGTTAGGGATATTATTCAATGCATTTATGATGAATACAGAGACATAATTAATTTTGAAAGCAACAACACTTATGTAATGCTTGTTTGTGATAAAAAAGATAATGATAGAATACTTGGTCTGCACTACTATGGATATTAAGGAAAAAGATACTTTGAAAAATATTTTGATTAATTTGTAACATTTAGTAAAACAAGAAAAGAATTTGAAGAAAAGAGATACTAAGCATTCTTGTTAAATAAACAGGACGAAAGCTACTGTAAGCAGCATTTCCTCAATTGAGTATTTTCAATAAATAATCTTATTTAATATTTTCAAAAATATAATTATCTAAAAATATGCAATATTATGTTGTTTCAAAATGTAAAAAATTAATTAGTTAGTTTACATATGTTAGTCATTCATTCACACTTCATTTTTTAAAAAAATAAATTTAAATAATTTTTTGTTTTCTTATTTTCTTTAAAATTTAATTAATTATAAAAATAATTTTCAATGAAAACATTTTTTAACTAAAATTTTGTTGAAAATTGTTGTAATACTTTAAGATTTTACCTAAATTATCTAAAGTATTTGAAATAAAACACTCTATTTACAACATTTTTTTGATTAATTAATATTTTTCTTTTTAATTGTATTTCATATATTTTTTTATTCATTTTATTTAACAAGCTTTTTAAAAAATATCAAATAAATTATTTTTTAGAGCTTTAATTTTGATAGTAGAAAGAAAAGCTTTCATTAATCAAAATTAAAGACGATAGAAATTTATTAATAGCTACAAAAATAAAAATTTATAAAGAATATATTATTAATAATATTCATTCATATTGAGTAACATTTAATATCTTTTCTACTTGATTTTTAATCGTTTTATTTTTAATAATTATTTTTATAAGTAGAAAAATAATATATTAATTGAACTACTAAAAAATTAAAAAGCTAATAGGAATTTATTAATAATAATAAAAAATAATTTATAAAAAATTTTTATTAGTATTATTCATTCACATTGAGTATATTTAATTGATGATTGATATCTTTTCTACTCTGATTTTTTTAATTGAATTAAAAAATTTCAAAAATTTTTAAATAATAAAACAATATAAGAAATTTTGAAACACTTTCTTTTAATAGGAATAATTTATTTATTAACAAAGCAATTAAAAATGTCAGATAAGCAAAGAGTTGTAAAAATTATAATTATTGGTCCTTCTTAAAGCGGAAAGACTGCTATCGCAAATTATTTAGCAAATCGTTTAGATGGTATTTCCAAAGACTATAGACCTACTGCAGCTTTAAGAATAGTTGAATTTAACAGAGAAGCACCAGTAAATCGCAAAAGACCAGGATAAGAAATGGCTACCATTTAGCTTTGGGATGGTAAAATTGATTTAATTATATAATCTTTAGTAAATTCATTTTATTAATTAAATTATTTTCTTTATTAAACAGTTTCAGGTGATCCAAGGTAAAATATTAAAGTTAGCTTTTTATGATTAACATTTTAATATGATAGAATTTGAATTGTTGCTCTTTTCTATGTTTATTTAACATTGAAATCATAAAATATTTAAGCAAAAAATAAATAAAATAGATATGAACCAACTTGGCCTGCTATTCAAAAAAATGCTCATGGTTGCTTAATGATATATAATGCAGAAAATCCTAGACATGAATAGGAAATAGAAGGTTGGTTTAACAATTTTGCAAATAAATCAAAAATGCCTCCAAACTTGTTAATGGGTAATTAGAACAATAATTTATTTGCATCAGAATAATTTAATGTGTTTGTTTTATAAATAAAAAAGCATTTGCACACTAAGTATCAGGAAAACCTGTATAAAAAAATAAATAGAGATAAAGTAAAATATTTTTTAAATATCATCTATTTTATTTGAATATTAAATTAAAATTTATGAATATTATTAAGTTAAATGTTGTCCAGCAGTTTCTGTTTTTAACACATCTATTGAAGAGGGACATGAAACTATTTTCCCAGCTTTTGAAAAACTTTTTACAAATGTAATGAACTAAATATATGAAAATGAAGATTAGATTGAAAGTAATTTTATGAAATGAAAGTTATAAAGAAATAAATATAAATAGATAGATAGAAAGGAAGTTAGATTGATACTTACTTACTTAATCATAATGTCATTAATAAACCTCAATTAATTAAATTAACAAATCTAATTAAATAATTTTAAAATAGTTTTTATTTATGTATTTTTTAATCAGATAAAAATCATATTAAAATATTTTAGTTTATTCGTTTTTTAAACGAATGACTAAAGATTTTCTAAAAAATTTATTCTCTTTTTAAATGTTTTTAAACCATCCTTTTTTATGATTTTTTAATTAAATAAATTGTTAAAAAATTACTAAATTTTTAAAAATTAATGCTTCATTTTGTAAATTTAATAATTGAAAATTAAAATAATTAAATTGCAGCGATTTAAAATAGAAAATATTTTATGTTTCTTCATTAATTTAAGATAGGTTTTATTGGCAGCAAAGAAGATTAAGTTAAAGATTTTTAAATTAATAATTTGTATCCGTGAATTTAATTTAATTAAAAAATTTTCTGTTAATTATTTTTTGAAATCTATCTAAACCTTGCTTAAAGATTATAAGGATATGACTTTAGATTTTATCTTATAAGTTTTAAAGCTTGCTTTAGTTTTTCTATTAGGATTTGGTGATTTATTAATTTAAATACTATACATGTCCTTAGAGAAATTTTAATATGATGTGCTTCTTACCTTAAACGCTATCTTTTTTATTTTACCATTTATAATTTTACTTATATGCTGGGCAATATTGATTGCCAAATCACAGAAATAATACTTTCCTATAAGAGATTTCAAGGCAGGATAAACGGAAATTAATTTTAAAATAAAATACTTTTTGGCATTCATAAAATAATTTTTGATTTCAATGCCAAAGAGTGTCTACTTCACATTTTTGATGTACTTTAGAGTGTTTGGTGTTGTGATTTTGAAACAAACATTTGAGAACTATTAAGCTTTTATGACAGAGTAATTATTAAATTTTTATTAATATTTAATAAATGAGTTCTTTCAAAAATATTATTTAGGTAACTTATAAATGAAATAAACGAAAAAATGAATTAAGAAAACTTGGAAAATTTATATTAAGAAGAAAATGATAATATAAAGATGAGATATGGAGATGACTAAGCAGTGGTATAATAACAGTAAAATTCGATATAACACACAGAATAATAATAAAAAGAAATAGAAATGAAAAAGAAAAAAGAGCTTTAGGCCTAAGCTAGTGAGAAAATTAGAAAAATGTTAAAACAAGGAAAAGAAGCACTATAATTAAACAAATCTAAATTTTCATCAGCGTAAGTAAAATAACCAAGCTCTATTCTATAAAACGCTGCTTCTATGAGTATTAGAAAAGGTGTTTCCTAAGATAAAAGTATGATAATAAAAGAATAAAATGATGAATCAAACTTTTCTATGAACAAATCTGTGTAAGATTAGTCAATATCATTTTAGTAAGGAAGATAAAAATCTATTATAGACTTATCAATCATACATTAGAATTAGCACTAAGATTATTCCTAGCTAAACATAAGTGATTTTTAAATAACTAATCAACAATAACTCTCCTAAAATATGAAAGAATCCAAACAAAATTCTATCATATCTTAAGCTATAAAACAGTAATAAAACATATTAGAAGAATAATAAAAGAGGAAAGAAGTCCTCAAATTAGAAAAAAAAATACTCATTGATCTCCGTTAGAATGAAATTAAGGAATAAAAGGTTTTATATACAATTTAATCTTAGCAATTAAACTACAACGAAAATAAACAAATTGATGATAGCGAAAATCTGGAGCCAAAAGACCTAAAGTAGTAAAATAGCATCTAATAAAACTATTTTGAGCTTGAAAATGTAATATTAGAAAATTCCTCTTATAAAACTAATAAAAGAGTTAATATATTTGGAGAGTTTTTAGATGAAGTTATTCAGAGCTCAAAAGAAATCAATTAGAGTAGCAAGTTTGGCCCTAAAAAGACATAAAATGAAAACATACATCCTTCAATTTAATAAGATTAAATTAATGGTAAAGATAGTATTAATTTTATGCAAAAAAATTAATCCCAACAAGAAGATTAATTGAAAACACCTTAAATGCCAGCTCTAAAGCTTCAAGCATCTTCCTCTATCAAAAAACATATACAAAAATCATAATCTATATACTTACAGCCTGTTGAAGTGTCGTTTTAGAAAAAAACAGAGATTAATATTCAGACATCATAACAGAGTAATAATTAAGAAAATATTGATTTATAATTAAGTGCTAACATAGGTTTTGATTACAAAAGATTCTTAACTAATAAACTTCTATTCTAGTATTTAGTAATTGGTAATTTTATCATTTGTATTTTTAGCACTATGCCAAATTTAGGACTCAATTTAGTAAATATCTCGATTCTAAACAATTAAAGTGGAATTGCACTAGCACATCTAATACTTGGAATATTTAATATTTTCATCAATTCGTTTATAGGTCTAAATGATATATTTTATAATAACTACTACTCTTACTACTTTATAGAATCCCAACTAAGTAAATTAAAAGCAAAAAGTTAAATTCACATTGATTCCAGATTTCCTATTCCACCTAAAGTTGTAATTGACTCTAATATATAATTAGATAGGCTTATAGATTTAAACCCTACTAGCTGTCTAAATATTTAAAAGCTAAGTTTTTAACCTCCGAAGCAAAGATATTATCTACCAATTTTAGTGAATTCTTTAGAGAAAACATTCTTAAAACTTAAGAATCTTACACATCTCCATATTGACCTTCAGTAAAATTTAATATAAGCTTTTTAATATATTTACATTATTATAAATTATTAAGAAAATTTATTTGAATTTAAATAAAATATTATTATTATCATATTAAAAAAATTAATATAATATATTTGATAAAATATTAATAAATTATTTATCTAAAAATATTTTGTTTTTGATTTAAAAATTAACAAAAATACAACTTTATAGAATAAATTAAAGTTAAATAAATATAAACTAATAGGTATCAATTTATGTAAGAAAGCTACATAATTAATTCAATCCAAACAGCTTTTACAGATTGTGGTATGCTTGAAGATATTTATATAAATTTGATGTAAAAATGTGTTAAAAATGCTTGATTTTTATTTATTTATTTACTAATTAATTTTAATAGTGGGAATACAATAAGAAAGAGAAGTTACAAACGTTTGGTTACAAGTTTAACAGAGGATGAATAATCTATTAAATTATTCAGAGTGCTTATTATCTCGTAAGAAAACTATTAAAAAAATAATTTTACAATAATTTTTTTTAATAAATATTCAAAGAGAAAAAGATTTATATTATAAAAAATCTTTAATTGATGATCAAGCATACAGTGATTTTTCAATTATCTAGAAGCATTCTTAACAAAATTTAAGGAAGATATAAATCAATCTAAGTGAAATTTCATATCTTGATGATTAAATATAGTTTGAAATATTAAAGCTACTTGAAAATATTAGTGTTAAAAAAATAGAAATATTTGGAAAGTATAATAAATTTGATAATGTTAAATAAATAGTTATTATTCTTTAATTTAAATTAGCATTTAAGATTACTACTTCAGCTAAGTTTACAGAATCATTAATGATAAAAAATGCATCCAATATGCTCATATTCTTTTAGAGTAAGATCTTGTTTTACAAATATTTTATAATGTATGATAAAATATTATTTTATTAATTTATTTAGAGAAAAATCATATTGGAAATGGGGTTAACTTCAAAGGATATTCAAATATGATACACAAAATATAAGTCTTGACTTAGAAATGTAAATTTTATTTATTAGGAATTTAATAAAAATGTTTTGCTTTTAATATACCTTAACTATAGATCTGATTACAAAAAGCTTGGTTAAGTTGGTTGCAGAGTACTATCTGATTCAATATAAGTTTGTAACTCAATCGAAGTCTTCGATTTACAACTTTTGTAAAATTACTTTTAGAGTAATTTTTATCTAATTTATCTAAAATATAAGTAATTAAAAGGTTGGAAGCTAAGGAGCTTTTTAAATATTTTATTAAATGTAAAAGCACATTAATCTTTAAGAGCTAACTTTAGATATTTCGTAAATTTAAATTTTAGCTTGCTTAATTCAAATTTCAATTATTTTTAGTAAAAATTTCTTAAGCGACGAAGTTATGTTATCTCTATCTGGATGTCTTTCCTTATTTTAATTTTTAAAAAAGCTCTATCTCTATCTAGAGTAAAATAAAATTATTCATTTCTTTTTTTATGAGTTAATAAAATATTATCATATAAAGCTGTAATAGCATACAAGCTGAAGGTTGCAAATATATTTCATATGGACTTTAGCAACTTGTATCTTTGCAAGAATTGCTTTTATCGCTTGAGTAATTTTAATAAATATCTTAAAAATATATTGAAATCAATTAAAATAAATAGAAATAACAAAGTATTAGCAAATGGGCTAAATTAGATATCATAGGCACTTCCTTACTTCTCTAAATTAAAAGAATTGCATTTAAATTATTCGTAAATTACTAGTTTATTTTATTTTTTATTTAAAAAAATTAATTCTTCTCTTAATTTAAATAAAAGCGATTGCCTTTTAAATACTGATAAATAAAATGAAGATGAGCTAAAGAGAAATAAAAACTTAGGATTCAAAAGTGTTTTGGATATGTCAGCATTGTATTTATCCTTTCAACAAGAAGATTAAGAAATGTAGGTAAATAACTCTCTTTCATTAAAAGCTTAAGATCTATGGAACCAAAGTGTTTTTTGTACTTAATTATTTAAAAATATGCCAGAGTAAAATTAGTTCCATGCACTCAGTTTGATTTTGAGGTAATTTATAATTAAAATTTTTCATTTTTTCATTTTTACATTTCAAATATCATGATAGGAATTGTCATATAGGATCATTATAGTCTAGATTAATTTGTTTAACTTTATGTAAAATGAAGAATCTAACTTATTTAAATATGGATCTTTCTGATAATCTTTTAGAAAGAGAAGGAGTTAATTATATTTTTAGTGGATTAAAAAAACTTGTTTACGTAAATAAGCTCATATTAAAGTTGAATAGGTAAAATAATTAATTAGTTTTATTGATATTTTTTCTAAAATTAATTAAAAATATTTATTTAATTACTAACTATTGTCTGTTATAAGTGTAAAATAAATTTGCCAAATAAAAAATATTTATTGTAGGAGATTAAATAATTATTAAATTTTATGGTATAGGGTAAATAGTTTACTTAGTATACCAAATATTAAAGAGCATAGTAATAATGTAGAAGATCTTGAAAAATAAAAAGATGAAATTAAGGTTTTTGTAAAAATGCTTTCCAACTAAGTAAATTAATATGAAGCGAGAATAATTGCTAATGATTGTGAAATAGACTAAATTAATGAGAAATAATTGAAAATTGCTGACGATATTAAAGATGAGCTGTCAAAATAAAAAAACGAAATACTTTAGTAAGAGCAAACTCTGATGAATGAAGAAAAAGACATTTCATAAAAGACCGAGTCAAAATAATTAAGGCTGAATGATGCTTACAATTAAAAAAAAGAAAATGATTATAAGAGGAAGTCAATATTAATACAAAAAAAGCAACTTAAAAATAAAATATAGGAATACATATCTCCTAGAAAATAAAAAGCAATACAGTTTTCTAATGAAAAAGAGGAAATATTGAATAATCAGCTGAATGTTCTTGTAGAATAAAAAAAGTCATTAGAAAAAGAAAATGAAAGATTGTAATCTTATATCAAAGAATCTAAATTGAAAAAAGATTAGCAAAATAACTTGATTTTCGATTACTCTAAGAAATAAAATCTTTTTACTTCTTATCTTAAAAACTCTCTAAAAATAATGAATTAGTTAAATATAATCAACTTTGAATTTTCATAAAACTTCCTTATTCATTATGATATCTATGAGCTTTTTTATGCATTAGAAAATATTCGCTCTCTAAAATCCATCACATTTAATTTCTCGAACAATTATTTAGGCAATCTTGGTATCAAACATATTTTATCAATCTTCAGAATTCAAAAAGATTTATCGTTTATTGATATCAATCTAGAGTAAAATTTATATCTAAATTTTTATGATTGAAATTTTACTTTTACAAAATTAAAAAGAAATAACTAGATTAACGCTGATGGATTATTCTATATATCGTGTATCTTACAAGAATGCACTTAACTATCTAAAATAAGAATTATTTTGAAGTAATTTTTTTATTTCATCACTCATAAATGAAATCATTTAATTAATTTGATCATCATTCATTTTATATCAGATTAATAGAATTTTTTAATTACTTTACTTTAAGCGAAGCAATATTTATTATTTCTTGTTGATTGAAGAGCTAGAACTTAAATCAAATTTATTTATAAGCTTTCCATGAAATTTTCACTTTTATTTAACAAAAGCACCAAATTATTCCTTAATAAAAAATGATGATATCAATCAAATTTTATTTCATTATACAAATATTTTCAAATTTAAAATATAGAAATAACAGGATAGAGTCTGATGATAGAATATTAAAATTCTCCCAAACCCTTTTAGAAAGAAAGGATAAATACGAAAAAGTTATCTTAGACTTGTGCGATAATGTTTGTGTGTACAATACAGACCAAGAGTTTATTAAAGCATTACATATTGCATATCCTAGTTCCTTCTATTACTGAGTGAAAGGCAGATTATCAAATTATTATAAGGGTCTTTAATAAAAATATATAATTACTGAAGATAAATTAATAACCTATAATTTACCAAAATTGATAAAATTAATTATTTATTTAAGATCTATTAGACAAATCGCATCATGTTTGTAGTAAACCAATTATCTAGAACTATCCTGTTCAATTTATCTCTTCTTTTTTTTCGGCTTTATTTATCTTCAAAAAATTATTTTAAAAGCTATTTTAAGTTCAAAGTTAACATAAATTGATTTTCACAAATTAAACTTTTTCAAAAATATTTTAGTATTCTATTTTATTCAGTTTAAATTTCTAAAATTTCTTTAGTTTCTAAGGTTAGATTTACAATTTACAATTGATTTTTAAAAATATGAGTTGATTTTTATAAGTATTAAGAGATAGAATTCTTTTAAACAAGAGAAAAGTAATTTATCTTATTTTTATTTCTAATTTATTTGTTAGAGTTAAATTTAATTTTAGAAACAAATTCATTGTTACATTTGGCTTATATTCAATAAAATAATTGAGAGATGTTTAATTTTTTATTGGAGGAAATTGTTAAATTGTTAATTTTTACTTATATTTATCTTTGGTAAATTTACTTATATAACTAAACTTTCAATGTTAGTTAAAAGCTAACTAAGTTGATTTACATAATAAAATTTTTAAATTAAAAATATAGAACAACAAAAAATTAAAATTTAGTCAACTTTTTTTGGAATGCCTAGCTAAATATTGAAAATAGTAGGTCTTGTTGCTGTTACTATTTTACTCACTCCTGTCTTGATAGATAACAGAGATCCCGACCTCGGTGGAATCAAAGAAGACTTTCTTCAAAAATTCAAAGACCTCGAATTCAAAGATAACATCAAAGAATTCATTTAAAAAAACAGATTTTACTGTATTAATGGAAAGAATCCAGCTTAATTAAACGCTTAAGAGCAATTAGAAGAATTCAAAAAAGGTAACATTTAAAAAAATTATTTTTATTTATTGAAACAATTAAAACTTAATTAATTGATAATAATTTAAAAAACATGCTAAATAGATTATCACTAAATTTATTCTTATAATTTTTACTTTTTTATCAGGTCCTTGTGCTCCTTTGACAATCATGCCAGGTATTCTCGGAACTTCCCTTTAAGTCTAAATTGATTGTGAAGTTTTGTAACAAGAAAATCCAGAAATATTTGCAAATTGCGGCTGGTCTACTTGTTCTAGTTATAATATTTTTGGTAAGAGACCAGAAACAGAATATAGACTCTGGGTGGGAAGCATTTTTTCAAAAACTAAACTTTTATAATTAAAAGACTCCAAGTGCTTTGGGGACTTGATGAGTCTTAATTATGATGAAAAAACAAATAAATTGTAAGACAATAAAGGTGTTTTTGTTACTTGGTATGGAAATACACCAAAAACAAAAAGTAAAAGTGAGTGTGGAGCTAATGCTATCAGAGATTTTACAGATGATCCCATCATGAAATAAACCACTGAATCTTTAAATGGTTTTCATAATTTAATTGATGCTTTAGAATAACTAGGTTATCAAAGTGGACTTTCGTTCTAAGCTCTTCCTTATGATTTCAGATAATCTGTGGCTGAAAGTAAATATGATTTTTTTTAATTAAAATAATACTAAAATTTTACTAAAATCACTAAAAATAAATTAATAAATAGAAAGTAAAATCTTTGATTTATGATTTTTTTAATTAAAATAATACTAAAATTTTACTAAAATCACTAAAAATAAATTAATAAATAAATAATTTTATAATTAGATGAGACTAAAAGATTGATTAAATCAGCAATTAATTCACTATTTAGCTTAACCGGTAAAAAATCTGTTCTAATTGCTCACTCTTTAGGATCACTTCATACACTAGATGCTCTTACCAGTTTTGAATAATCCTTCAAAGATTAAAAGGTTAAACAATTTATAGCAATAGGTCCTCCTTTTATTGGTGCTCCCAAAAGTTTCATTAACATCATTGGAGGTGATCCTTCTTATATCTAAAATATCTTAGGTTTGCAAGTTGGCATTAATTTCTACTCTTAAACCAAATTCGCTTACAGTTCTTCTAGTACTTACGATCTCTTGCCAAAGAATACATTTTATGAGTTTAAAGATGAGCCCTGGTTAAAAGAGCTCATTTCTAGAATAGAATATGAAAAGGATCCTTCTAAATTTTCTGAAGCCCCTTTCAAGAGTATATTCCCCGAAAGAGAAAATGAATGCTTCGATACTAATAAATTATTTTTTAGATCTGACAATACATGCTAGTCTGGATTAATTAACCTCTTTGAGCAAGAAATTTTAAATATAAAAAATTAAACTTTTAAATCTAACAATGAAGATTTGATCAGCATTTTAAACAACTTTACTCTTGATGATGCTTCTAAGTACATTAAATTGTATAATAAATCTTTAAAAGCTGAAGGTCTTAACAAGCTTAAAAACCCTGGTGTTCCCACTGCTATTATTTTTGGAGGTATTCTTGAAACTACAATTAGTTTAAATTATAACGAAAATCCTAAGGATAAATTATCTGTAAATAAAGATTTCTATTTCCCTGAATCATAAAGCTTTACAATTGGTGATGGCACTGTTCCTACTTATTCAGCCATTACTCCTGCTTTCAAATGGGCTTTTGAATTCGATAATCAATCCCCAAACAGCAAACCTGTTAAATTGATTGAATATTGCTCCAAGCACGCAAGTAATGAATCTTTTTATGACAACACTTCAAAAAATGGAGAAAAGATTTATACTAAAAACTCATATCATGGAATACCTTGTGAATGTCAAAATACTAAGAGTGTAGAAAAATGTAACCATTCTTGCTTTATAAATGATAAATTTGTGATTGGCACTATATTTGAAGCTATCTAAACAAATGAAATAGCAAAAAAAACTAAAAAATATACATTAAATGAAGTATTATCTATTTAATCTGAATGTCCTGTACTAAAGGATTGAAGTTAATTATAAAGTAGTATTTGATAGTTAATATTTATTTAGTAAAAATGTTAAATTTATTAAATTTATTTGATTCTATCTAGTTTTTCAATTTAAAAATTTTTTTTATTCTTTGTTTGTGGATATGATAGAATATTTAAAGAATAAATTTTTAAATTACTTCAATTTTACTTCAAAATTATTCATTTTATAATTAAATAATTACTAAAAATTTTACTATAAAATCTATATCACAGTTTAAATTTAACTAATGCTTGAGTTATTAAATATTTTTTAGTAAAAATGTAAATCATTTAAAAATTGTAATTTTCAGTTAAGCGTAATTTGCTATTAGCTAAATTATATATTTTATATCTCATTTAATTTTTATTTGTTTGATTTCTTTTATATTTTTTATTTTTCTTTATTTATTTATTTATTGATTTATTTTTGTTTTTATATTTATTATTTATTTATTTAATATTTATTTATTTTTTTTATTTATTTATTTATATTTTTATCTTATTAAAAACTTGTAATCATCAATCATATCATCATTATCAAGCTCAAGAAAGTCTAATCTATTTAATTAATATTCTATTATTATTAATTTAATTTATAAATTGGAAAGAGACCTAATTTTTGAAAGCTGTACAATACTTGATCATTCTCTTTTGTAAGTTAGAAAAATACTTCCCTACAAAAGCGATGAGCGCAAGTTTGTATGATATAAATAAATGAGGGGAATGGATATTTGAGAAATAAAAATTGCAAGATTAAGTAATTATAAATGAAATATTCATTTATAGCCGGAGTATACTACCATTTGTGATAGTTTTTAATCTTGAAATTTTACTTCCTACTGATTAATGAATTTTGTGAAATCAGTGTGGGATTAAAAACTTTGGTTTGAAATTATGTTTGTTTGTTTTTCTCATTTATTTACTTTAATATTTTTATTAATTTTATTTGAAAAACAATCTTTTATAAAATTTTTCCCCTCTTCTTTAATTTAAATTTTTTATTGAAATTTTTTTTTGAATAATAAATTCAAACTATAAAGCAAATAAATAAATAAGTAAATAAATAAATAGTTTACGAAATTTAAAAAATTATTTGATAGAAAGAAACTTATCTTATATTGTTATTTAGAAATTTCTACAAAGACAATTCTGCTTTTTATCAATTTTTAAAGTATCTTAAATTTTTTTTATTAAAATTTAGTACCTTCTTTACTATAATTAGTAGTTTAATAAATAATAGTTATTTGTTTTGTTAATTTTAGTATCTATTTTATTTTCAAAACTATTGATTTCATATTTTTTTTTTTCTTAATTTACATTTTTGTCACTGACAGACAGTACTACCTCTAGAATATTATCTACCAAAATATTTAGCAAAAAACAAGCTAATAATCAACTCATACTTTTGTTGAGTTTATTAAATGTTTTTCAATTAACTCTACTTGTATATCATTTAGCTATAAATTATTTGATAAAATTATTTATTAAAATGTTTCGTTTTTTAGTATTTTTCCTTAAATCAATAAAATTCTAAGCTCTTTTAAGGCATTTTTTAAATTTTCAGAAATGACCATGTTTGAATCTTTTAAAAAGTCAAGCATATCTAAAAACTTTGCTATTTAATTAGAATTCAGGTTAATTCTTTTATGAAGCTTTCTTCTCATTATAGAGCGAACTTTATCTTAGTTTTATGGAGACATTTCATTTATTGAATTAATCACATTTAATTTATCTAAAATAATTTCTTTTCTATTAGCCATGCTTTATTCTAGCAATCTCATGAGATTATCATTACCTTTACCTTTAAAAATTATTTCTTTAAATAAACAGCTTTTATTAATATAAATATTTACTTTTATATTAGTGATATTGTATTATTTCTTTGGCAACTGAAAAAAAATGTACCCTAACAGGATCGACATTTCTTTATTCTATTGAATTGCACTCAATTTATTTTTTCCTGCTCTACTAAAATATTTTACTTGTAATTTATTTTATTGTAATTTAGTTTTAAGCAGCATTACAGACCTTAGTATTTTAGTTTTAATTAAATGCTGTATTTAATCTCTTTTCCTTTTTGCTATCAACATTTTTTCTTCTAAAATTTATATTTTTTTATTTTAAATATAAATCTTTTAAAAAATAATCTACATTTAACTTATTTAGAAGTTATATGGTCCAGCTTCGTTGTACATAAATGTATTTTCTATTTGTTCAAAAAGTTTTCTTTGAGGATCAACAGACTTATGCTATATATTTTCAAATATTGACTTTATTAATTATTTATTTTATATTAATAAGTTTACTCCAAATTTACGAAAAGGCTTTACTGTATCATCGCTTACTAGTTTTTCAATTTAGCGAGAATTTTTAGTATGATATTCGTACATTTCTAAATATTAAAATAGATGTAATTAATTAATTTCTTTGTATGTCAGTCATATTTATTATGTTATTAATTACCCATGATCTTAGTTTTGTTATCATTTATCTTTAAAACTTTGTCTCCTAAATCCTATATTTATGAATATTTATTAGAAAAAGTCAGAATAAAGCATTGATTTACATTGTTTCTAGATCTTGCTCTTTTTATAAAATTTTGAGCTGTTCTACCCCTAAAAAATTCATCTATTTATGGGATAAGTTTTTCTCTTAATTAAGCTTTGTGTTATGGAGATTATATAGATTCTTGAATGCTGCTTTCGTTTATAATAGAAGAATTTAGTTCTTCGATTCTCTATTATTCATTTTTTATTCCTTTTTCTGAAAAATCAAACTATTTATCATTAATACTATTACTCTATATTGAAGGTAATTCAACATACTTATCTTCTATATTCGAATATGGCCTTGTTTCGTTGTTAATTGTAGAGAATCGACTTGGAGGCGATTTTTCTAAAACACTTAAATTATTTCTACTTGTATTCTTATTTAAACTACCTTTTAACATCTAACTTTCATCATGGTAAGACATATATGAACGCTGCCTTCTGAGGTTTTAAAATTTTAAAGGACTCAAACTTAGCATATCAGGAGTAATTTCTTCTTAATCTTTGAGTATTTAAGTTAATTTGTCCATTTGAGCACTATTATTACAATTTTTAATCATCTTAATCCTTTTATGTAAATATAATATTTTATTAATCATTCCTGCATTTTAAATATATTAACTAATTTATTACTAGTGATCTTGCATTTCCAGGTAATTTTTTACACTTATATATGCCTTTTTATTATTGCTTTACTCAGCTACTTTCAGATCTTTTTTAAACTATTCAATATCTTAATCATAATCCGTAAGTGCTCTTTTTTGGCTTTCTCTCTCTTGAGAAATACCATTTGAATTATTAGAATCGTAACGATCCCTTCTCTAATTTACCCTCCTATGCCTATCTTATAATCTTAATTCTCCTAAAATTTATTTGATGCTTTTACTACCATCATCTCTTACTATTACAATTTTACAGAAAGAATAAAGTATTATTTTTTTAAAATAAGTTTTGTAATACCAAAATCAGAACTCTTTTCAACAACTTTAATTTTTTTAGGAAGTGAATTACCACTCATTTCTTTAGGTTATCACTAGTTAGTTGCTTGGAGTGAATGAATGAATATTCCTGATTTTTTAGAAATTAAAAATCAGTAATTTAATATATAATCTTTAATATTTATCGCAATTTATTTGTTGATTTTGCACCAATAAACTTATTAAATTAATAAATTATTACCACTAATGAATAGTGGTTTTATATGCAAATTATAAGAAGCAATAAATCAATTATAATTTATTTTACTTACAAATATAATATAAATATATAATTTTGCTAAGATTTAGACTTTAAAGATAAACTAAAATTTAATAGTAGCGTTGCTTTAATTGCAATTATTATTAAAAATATCAAAAGAAACTATAGTTTAAACAAGAATTTATATTATTAAATAATAATGTAATATTAAATCCACTTAATATTTATAAAATACTTTTTATATTTATTTTTTTATTCAAAATTGATATTTTTGATTATCTAATTTTAGATAAAATTTTTTATTTTTAGATAATTTTTAATTAAAAAGTGTTATATTTGTTTAAATTAATTTATTTATTTTGAATACATCAAATAAAATTTTACATTTAATAAGTAAGTTATTGTTAGAATAATTATAAAATTTGTATACTAAATGATTATATTTTAGTCAATAATTTCTTAACTTTAATAGTTTTAAATTTGGCTGTAAAGTAAAAAAGAATTCACAAATCAGTTTATTATTATTGATATCTTCTTTGTTTAAATAATTAGCTATCTAATTGTTCTTCTACTTTTTCAAAGTCCAACAAAAAATCAAAACCAGAAGCTTCATTGTAAAGTATTTCCCACTTTCCAAGATCACTCTAATTTGGATTTTTCCAATATTTGTTCAAGTCCACGTTTTAACGATGAGAATCTAAGATTAAATCAAGAGTAGTTTGTAAAAGTTAGGGAATAACCAAATGATGAGTACTCAATTCCATAAAAAGCCCTGCAGAAGTGTTATATTCAATAATATAGGCATTGAAATTAGCATCAAAAATTAAATCTATTCCTAATAGTTAAAAATATCCTCTCTTTTTTCCTAATTACTTTTTAGCAGCCAAAAGGCTATACGATACAGTTTTCTTTGCTTTATTCCATAAAAATTATATTTAATCTTAAGTAAAATGCTCTTTGGATTTGAGGTAAGTTTCGTATTATTCTATACTCATCATAAGATTTTCAGCTTCTTATTTATAATTTTCATGATTTTTTTGAAAGCTTCTATTTGTTAGATGCTTCATTGATTCATCTTCATTAAATTCTTCAAAATTCAAATCATATTCTTTTATGCATTTTTTGATAAAGCCACTTTAATACAAAACAACAAAAGGCTCAACACTTGCTATGAGCACATAAGAACGGATATCAAATTTTCTTCCATCTATTAAAAAAGGATTTTCTAAATATTTCTAAATAACCTTTTAAAAAAACAATAATTAATTAGTATCTTAAATAGTTGAAGTATTTTTACTTAAAACATAGAAATATAAGGCCTATTTTCTTTGATTTGCAAATCATTTAGTAGTTCCTGCTTATTTGATTTATAGAATTTTATTTTTTCTTTAATTTCCTAAGTACCTCTGAAAAGCTAGATACCTTTTCCTAATTGAAAAATTAAATTTTATATATAGTCATTAAGTAAATTTAAAACAAACCCAATGAACCATAAGGATCTTTAGCTAGCCAATATCCTCCTTCTATAGTGTTAAAGAATTCTAATTCCTATGGAGAATATACTTCTTCATCAATATGAAATAAATATGTTTTAAAATGTATTTAATGTGATCTAACTTTGTATGGATTATCTTTAAATTTATCAAAATTTTCCATAGTTAAAATAAATCTATTCTTATCTGAAAGAAGATTGCGAGAATTAGGAATGTGATTAACTATTTAATTGCCAGCTTAAAAAATAGTATAATTTTACTAATGAGCATAATCAGTCCATTTAAAATAAAAAGAAGAATCGTTAGTGAGTATGTCATCTAAAACTTAAATATAAAAATCACATCTAGATTCAAAGTATTTAAAAATCATTTTCTACTTAATACCTTACTTTATAATAACTTTTTTTCTTAGTTCAGGATAATCTACATATTTTTAGCAATTTAATATTTTAAAAGTTTCTCCAGTATGGGTATATTAATCTTGCTCATATTGCTTCTTTCTTTAAATAACACTAAGTTAGTTAGTTTATTATTCAGTTTTTAATTGTAACTTCTTTATTATTTATGTTAGGCACTCCATATATTCTTAAGTTTCCTACAATATATTATCTTTAAAGTCAATATTCGCACATTCAACAAAACATTCATAATAATCCTTTCTGTGTATGTAAACAGAACATCCTTCAGTACAATGTTAAACTTAAGCTTAGCATCCAAGATTAAGTTGGCAAGATGACAAATTTAAACATTTTTCTTGCATTTAAATCCATCTCTAGCTATGGACTAATAAGATAGAATTTAAAATAACAAATAATAAAATCATTAAAAAAATTGAAATTTATCATAAATCTTTCAAATAATACGTTTTTACTCTTTAAAAATTAATTAAAATACAAAAATTTTAAAAAATAATAAAAATATATCTTTTATGTGTTAAATTGCAATAAACTCTTTAACTAAAATTGGAATAATTTTCTTATTTTTGTTAAAAATTATTTTTTAGAAAAATTTAACATTAAAAGTAATTTCATGAAATTTAAAACAAGAATCACTTCAAACAATAAAATAAATTAAAATTATTAAATTGAATGATATAATTTTAATAATTAATTAGCTATTTATTTATTTATGAGAAATGTCTTATAAAGATAAACCATTTTTTTCTTTTTTTGTAATTTATTTTTTAAAATGTTTACAAATATTTAAGCTCAATATTAAAAATTAAAAAATAAAAACAAAGATTTATTTAAAGTAATAAAATCACATAAAAAGAAAATATATTTTTTGTGTTAGATTTTTATTGACAAAACTTTTTTATTTTACTAAAAATAATTTTTATGAATAATTTCATACAAAAAGAATTTAATCAAACTTAAAATAAGTTTTACTACAAATTATAAAATAAACTAAAACTATTAAATTGAAATTGCATAATTTGAATATTTAATTTAAAATTATTTATTTATTTATGATAAATATCTGAAAAAAATTTAATTTTTTACTTTTTTTGTTAAAATTCTTTAAATTCGTTTTCATTTGTAATTCATTTTAATTAAAATACTTATAAATATTTAAATTCTATTTTTACAGTTTTTAAAAATAAAAAATAGATTTTTTATTAAAATATTTTCTTAAATAAGGCAATAAATTGTATATAATCATCCTAAAATCATATTTTTTAGTGAAGATAAGATAAATTAATAGTTTTTTAAGACTGTTTTAGGCTCTATCATAGCTGCTTCTTTGTATAATTCCAATGCTTATTGATATTATTTTATCATGTAAAAAGAATTAGCTAGCTTTATTTTTATAATAGGATCTTCTTTCAACTAAAGATATATTTCGTAAGCATCTATAGCTTGCATAAAATCTTTTTAAGCAAAAAATGCATCTCCAATACATCTATAAGCTTATTCAGATCTAGGATCTAATTTAATTTCTTATTCAGCACTCTAAATAGCTTCATTATACTTTTTTAATTTCAGTAAATATACTGTTTATTAATAAAAAGATTATGGATCATTTGGATTCAATTCTATGCATTTTTAAATATATTTTAAGGCCTCTTCATGCTTGTTTATTTTGTCATAAGAATAGCTTAAATAAAAATAATTATCGTCATTTTTAGGTTCAATGTCTGTGGCTTTCTATAAAACTTCAATAGCTTTATCAAATTGTTCCATTTATATATAACATTAAGCTTTGTGTGATAAATTCCATGCTGAAGAAGATTCTACACTATCCCATTTATTACTATAATGTAGTGATTTCTTAAAATCTTTTTTGTTAAAATACATATTGCACAAATTTTTATATGAAAGAGGTTTTTATGGGTCTAACTTCATAGCTCTTTCAAAATTCTCTGCTGCTTCTTCAAACTTATCTTCTTTTAAGTTTACGACTCCCAAGTAAATAAAAGCAAAATATATTTCTTTTGAAATGGCTATAGTTTGTTCAAAGTATTTTCTTGCTTCCTCGAAATTTTACTTTTACAAATAAACTTTGCCAACATTGCATAGTAATTAAGGATCATTTCCAACTTATTTTATTCCTTCTTCGTAAACATTTTAAGCTTTCTCATAATCATTAAATTACTCAATATAATAATTTCCTAAATCATTATAAATAGAAGAATTTTTAGGATCCTATTCAATGTATTTTTTAAAAGTTTCTACTGCTTTCACTTTATTACCATTCTTATTATAAATTGAAGCAATCAGTAAATATGCTTCTTAGCACTTAGGAAAGTGCTTAATGGCTGTATTAAGAATTTGAATGGCTTCTTATTATTTTTCTTATTTTATGTAGAGTGATCCTAGGTACACATAAGGTTTATGGCTTTACTTGTCTTCTTAAATTAGAATTTTTAATAGCTTTTCTGCTTTATCTAGTTTATTCAGAATAAAATATTAATTTAATAACTTATACTTCATTTAAATGTTTTTTGGGTTTCTTTCAACTGTTTTTTCTAGTTCTTTTAACTCTTGTTCAGTAAATTTATCTGATAATACATAATCTTGTTCATTACTAATCATTTTAATATTATCTTAAAAATAATTGAATAACAATGGCAAAGATCCTAAAGTTGTAAACTTTATAAATGTTTTCAGATATTTATTTATTAAGCTATTGTTAAATCTAAACATTTTATTAAAGCGCTAAACATTTTTAATATCGAAAAATTGTAGTTAGTTAACATTAAGGAATATATTTTTTCTTAAAAGTACACTCATTTTTTTATTATTTTTTTTGCTTTTTTATGGGATATAAGAATATTCTATCTAATTTATTAAATTACTCAAAAAGTTTTTAATTATTATGATAATAAATAAGAAATCTTTAACAAAATAATTAAACATATAAAATAAATTCTTTAATTATTTATAAAATTAAAATAATATTTTAATATTTAGCTTTTATAATATTTCAGTTTAAATAAATTCATTGTATGTTTCTTTCATTACAACCAAAATATTTATTATCAAATTATTTAAATTTAAGCTAAATTGCTTTAAAGAGTATTATTCAATATAAAACTAATTCATTTGAATGTTACAAATTAATATTTAAAAAAATAAATGACCAATTTAACTTTACAATTAAAAACATAATAAATATTTAATGAAAATGGAAATGGAGAAATGTATGATTAAATTTAATTTCTAAATGTTTTTAGATTTCTTTTTATGGAAATTAAGTTAAATAATAATATTTTCTATAAGGTTGAATAAAATAAACTTTTAGATTAGGTAAATTTAAGGAAATAATATTAGATAAATTATTTAATTAAATTTTAAAAAATAATAATTTTATTTTAAATATAAAATATAAATAAAATAATAAATAATACAAATAAAAATTTAATTTTACATTTTACATTTTTAAGATTACATTAAAATAATTTAAGAATTTATGTATTTTGCAATTAATCAAAATTAAATTTGAATCTTTTTTACATCCTTGGAAACTTAATTTAAGTTATTAATTCAATATGAGATTTTACTTACATCAAATAATAGTGTGACAATAATGAAAAAAAAAATAAAAAAATTACCATTACAAAAAAAAATAAAATTTTAATGATTAGATACGACTAATAAAAGCATCTATTTAATGATTAGATTTATATATTAATTGTTTCGTAAATAATATTTATCTATTTAAAATATTTTATTTTATAAAACTTAATACATAAAATATATTTTCTAAAAGAATAAATTATTATTTAAGCTTGAATTATTTAACTATGATTTCAATAGCTAATTAATGATTTAGAAATAATATACATCATATAAAAATTATTATTTAGAGTTAATTAACAAGCAAGAATTAAATCAGAAATATTTTAAATTAATTATTATTTATTTGAAGGAAATAGTTTTATTGCACTGTTAGTTGATTTGAATTGATCATTATTAATAATGAAAAATAGTGAATAAAAAAAAGATATTATTTTATTTAAGTAAATCTAAAAATAAAATAAAAAAATTAAAATTATTGATGATTTGAAATATTGTAAATTATATATTGACATATATATATATATATTTAATTAATAAAGTAAGGATCTTATTGAAAATTTGGTAAAAAACATATATTTACTTATTATACTAAAAAAAAATTAAAAATTATAATCGATGTAGATTTAAGTGTTAGGGAGAAATATTTAGTTGGTGATTAGAAAAATAAAGAAAACAAACTCAGCATATTAAAACATATTATTTTATATAAATAAAACTAAAGCAAAATAAATATTTGAAATTTATTATTTGAGATTTGAAATAGTATAAATTATATAGTTAGGTGAAAGATATATTTACTAATTTATTTTTTTATTTATTCATTTATTTATTTCCTTATTTACCTTATTTTTTACATTTTTAAATTTATTTTATTTTATTCAAAAAATTCTGTTGCTTGCATTGCTTAAATCTTTGAAAGTTTTACCAAACATATTTTCAGCTTTAATTCCTTTTTAGAAACCAGTATAACCTACAATAGGAATTTCTTTAGGGGCTTCCTATTTATTTATTAATTAGTTAAATAAGTTATAAATTTTTTAATTATTTACTACAACAAATAAATTCTAAAAATTTTGAAAACATTTTATATTATTTAATTACCTTTTGTCCTTTTGTGAGTTCAAGAATTGTCCTAGCTTAAAAGTCTATTTCGTCTTCAGTAGGACCCTTTACTTATTTCAAAGGATGTCTATAAACTGGTCTGAATCCTTAATATCCAATTACTGGAACTCTATCGATGGGAGGTACATCTTCTATCGTTTTTGGTTGAGAGTTTAACCTAAAATATTATTAAAAATTATTTTTTTGTCAATAAATCTTTATTTATTATTATTCATAAATTAGTTTACTATGCTTTTATTAATTCTAATCTTTCAACTTCGTCATCTCTTTATCTATTATTGAGTACGTTACTGGCATTATTAGTGAATGTTGGATTATTTCTTAAATTAGGTCTTATATATTCTAATTGGTAATTAGTTTTAAATCTCTCTTCATCATCAACAATAAACCCGCTCTTATATCTATTATTTAAGCACTCAGCAGTGATACGAGCAAAAGTTTTACCATGTAAACTCTCTGCTTAAACACCTTTAACATGACCTTTATATCCAGGAATATGCTATTCTTAAAGAACATGAGTTGGTCCACCAAGCCATGTAGTTCCAGTTTTGACATCTTAATAAGTAGGTATCATTTAAGTGGTGTTCATGATTTAAAAACTCTGATATTTTTTTTATTATTTATAATTTTAATTTTTTTATCTGCTATTTATGTGGTTGTTCGGCTACTTTATTTTTCAAGCTTATCAAGCTTTTGGAAATAGTTATCAAAGTTATTGTTATTATTTATATATAAATTTGCAATATAAGATTTAATATAAAATTTCCCTCATAAAATTTATAAAGCAAAGTTTGCATGAAAATGAAAGAAGCACATTTTTTACTTTAAAGAAATAACAATCATTAAAAAATCACAATAACTAATAGTAATCTCTCATTCATTATTCATTTTGCTTAATATTTTTACATTTTAATTTTTGAAGAATCACATTTTCGTTAATACTTTGCAAATACATACTAAATTGATATAATGAAGTTATTAATAATTATCACAATAATATATTTTAATTTAATTTAATTTAATTTATTCAGACAGATAAAGATCATTTTATTTTATCTAAAATTTATAATCACTTTTACAGTTTTTATTATTGTGTTAGAAGTTCATTACTAAATAAGTATTTTTCTTTAATTTTTATTAAAAAGATCTACTTTAATTTTCTACAAGCCGCCACACATATTCAAAGTTTAAATTAGCTAATTAATTTAATTTTTCAAAACATCTACTTTTGATTTCATCTATTAAGCGATCACAAGCATTGAAAGTCTATTTATCGAAATAATAAATCTAATTTGCTTGCTGATAAATTGATTTTCAATTTCAAAAAACAAACTTACAAAAATAAAAATAATTTTTTTTGGAACGTTAATAAAGTGCACCATTTTTTAGAAATAATAGGGTTTTCTAGAAACGATAATTAAAATTTTAATTAAGGGCTAAATTAGTCCTATTTAGTATTATTATGATTCCTTTAGCAGTATTAAAAAAAAAAAACACAAAGTTAACAATACTTAAGAGAACATAAATTAATTAATAAGAGCCTTAATAAAGTTAAATACAAATATTGATTGCATTCTTAGAAGAAATAAGAAATTTAATAAAGATATATTATTAATTATCAAGGATACATATTTCAATAAAAATAGAGGGTATGTTAAAGCGCTTAGTTTAACAGAAAAGGAGTTTATTTAATACAAATCTACTCTAAAATGCATAATTATTAAAAAGTAGCTAATTGAGTAATTAGAAAAATAGTAATTTCTCAACAATTAAAAAACGTGATATTTCTATTTTTAATTATGATAACAACTCCTACACATCAGAATAGATAAATTACATTAACTAGGTCTAAAATTTAAAATATAGTGATCTAGTAACCGAGTGTAAAAACCTAAAATTAAAGCCAAAGGACCGTACCCGTTAATCTCTTATATATGCTATCATAGAATCTTTGCCAAAAATTGCAGAAGATGCTGCTGCAAGTAAATTAATTTGCTTTTTTACATTTATTTTAAATCAGAATAAAATCACAAAATCTAAATGCGGGTAGAAATATCTAAGTTGATTTCACAATATATAACCAAACTTAAAATTAATATCTTTTACTATTATGGTAGATAAGTCCTTTATATTCAATTAACTTTTATAAAATTTACAAGGTGAAATTAGCCAATAAAATAGCAAAACAAGCTCTTTATTAAACCGTACCTAAGTAGAAAAAGAAGAAAGCAAACCTATAATCACAAATAGTAGTTAAGAAAGCGATTCACGTTAATTATAGTCTGCTTCTCGTGAAAATTTGAATGAAGAAATTAAAAAAACAATGAAATAGATTTTATCAAAAGATGAGTATAACAAATTCTTAAATAACTTCATTAATGGAGCAGGTGAATACTCAAGAAAAGTTATAGAAATAGACTAGTAAAACTAATTGCGTTAGATATTTAACCAAAATGAAGTTTTATAAGAATATGGAGACCGTATTATTTAATATATTGAACCAAAGGCAACTCAGTCAATTCATTATATTGAAAATTACTCATTTGAGCAATAGTAAAAAATTGTTGAAGCTATGTCACCAATGTCAATAAACAAAGAAATCAGCCTTCTTTTGAATCGCTCAAACTATATTAACGAATGTGAAAAGAGCTATGCCCTTAAGATTAAAACATCAAAGCATGAATTGTCAAAATACATGTACTCTCAACTATTGTGTATTGAAAATGAATATTGCGGCTTATTCAAGGATGAAGCAAAATAATTTTTGAAAGAAATTAGTAATTCACGTATAGTTAACTCTTCAGTTCTACACATTACTAAAACCTTATCTGATCCTATTTAATTTTGGCACTATGCTTCCCTATTCAAATGGGGATCTCCTTCATCTCTTATCTCCTTATGGAAAACTTTAACTCTCTCTATTGATTGTAATTTTTTATTTTAGATATTTCAATATACATTCAAATAACATTTTACTTAGCTATTAGCCACAATCCCTAAGCATATTAGCAAGATAGAATCAATAATTTTATTATAATTGAAGGAAATATAAATATTATTTTAAAAAAATAGTTTATGATATTGATAACATTCAAACTTTGACTCGCTGCTTATACATGATTAGGAAATATTCAAGGTTTTATCCTCAAAACAATTAAAATAATTAGGAAGAGATTCAATTTTATGAAAAGTTAACAAATGTTATTCTGCAAATGATTAGCGAAAAAGATAACCAAGTTTCATATTTCAATATTGCAAATATTTTAGGTTACTTAAAGCAAATAAATATTCCATTCACTACAAAGACACAAAAAAATCTCTAAAGCATAGCTGTAAAATATTAATTATTTTTTGAATACTTTTTGAATTTCTAGAAAAATCTAAAATAAAAAATTAATTTTTTGTAACTTTGTTAACAAAAAATAAATAGGAAGTCTTTATTGACATTTACAGAGCAGATTTAGAATAAAAAACCTTAGAATAAACAGGAAATTAGAATATTTAAGAAAATTATTTAGTGAGCCCCGAAGTTCTTGATAATTCTACACCAGACTATTTTGTGAGAGCTCTTTTTGCTTTGAGCTATTTTCCTAATCCTCCTTAAATTATAATTAACGATATTTTCTAAAAATTGGTTGATTCTGGTCTCGAATTCTTTGAAAAGGGAGTAACTGTAAAGATTCTATCTCAATTAATGCTTAGCAACATTCCTATTAATGATATAGTTGCTGAAGCTATTAGAAAAAATAAAAAGGTTATTTATGATTTAAGTATTAGAGAAATCTATGTCTTTATTTATTCTTTTAAAGACAGTAATTAAGATATGGGAAAATTATATCACCACTTCTACTTCTAGTAACAAAAATATTAATTAAATCAATCTTACTTAATTATTAATTCACTTTAATTTTATTTTTAGAACTGGCCTCTTCTTGGATAACGTCACTTTATTAAACGACTTTAAGCAAGTTGTTATGGTTGCAAAAATCCACTACTACATTCTCACATAAAAGATAAATGAACACAAAAGAGTGTACTTGGAAAAACGTACCAATTAGGTTCTTAATTTAATTAATAAAAGCTGCACTGATTCTGTTTGCAGAGACTATATAGCTGATATCATTTACATTGCATCTCTCTTTATCCCCTATCTCAACAAACCAGACTTTTTGTTCACCAAAATAATTAAAAATATTGTAAATATCATTTTCACTCTAATTAAAATATAAAAATGTTTGATAAAATAATAAAATATTAGTAATACTTGAAAGTAAATAGCGAAAATAGACCACTATTCACTAATTTCATCATGAAAACTTTAGAAAAACTAAATCCTCATTATGACTTTTTTATTAACTACGGTAGTTTAGATTTGGAATACAATGATAAATTTAGTACTGAAATGAAGGTTCTTTTAAATTTAATGATCAAGAAGTTTATTGAATCAAAGTTACTAAGCTTTTTCCTATTAACTATTTAACTTTGTTCTGCTCCTAAAATTTTGAAAGAGGTTGTTCAAAATGACATGGAAAGGTAATTAATTTTTCTATTCATTTTAGCTAAAATCTTCAATATTTTTATTTTAAAAAGACATGAATTAGCTAAAAATTTGACATTACAAATCATCAAAATTCTGGGACACGAAAACAACAAATTCGTCTTTTCAAACTTGGTAATGTTCTCTTGTTTTGTTGACACTAACTTCGAATCTATTCAAGACGAAACCATTATTGCAAAAGCTCAATAAGTTATTTTTGAGTCATTCAAAAAAATAAACAAAGAATCAAACGAAAATGATGATTTACTCTGGATTTATTATCATTCTAGTATTTTAAATAAGATTTAAGGCCAAAAAACATAAGAACCAATCAAGAATCTGAATGAATACTTTTTGAAAAATGTTGTAAAGCCAATTTGTGAAAACTAAATAGGTGTAGTTAATCAAATTATTCATGAAGATGGCATTGTTTAATATTTCAATAAAAATGTCAATTACAGCAATCTTCAGAATATAATTTATCTTCCTTCTATTCTTAAAAATCTAGCAATAGATATTACTAAATAGCCATCTATCTAATAGTATTTGTTGCCTAAAATTAACAAGGAATCTAAATTTTGGAATGGTCAATTTTTAGTAGAAAACCTCATCATTCTTAACAAACTGAAAATTAACTGCTTTGATATATTTGAAAATGTTTGCGAAAACTTATTCACTACATTTATTTATTATCACGACTCATATGATTTTTAACTAAACAATGAAATATATCCTAACAAATAAAAGATAATTGAAATCTTAGATTCATATTCTAACTAATATATATAGTAAATATTTATTTTATTTACTCATTCAAATTTAATCTTTTTCAAAAATAAAATAAAGATAAAAAAATCTTAATCCTAATTTAGAAGTAACTAAAAATAAAAATTTTGTTGCTTTGAATGTATTGGCATGCTTTGTTTTGAAGGATCTCTCTCCAGAAACTATTTCTGTAATACGAAAAAATAAATAATAAATTTTTTAATATTTTTACATAAATAAAAGAGCATATTTGAAATGATGGGATCAAACCAATAAATTTATTATAAACAATTTGTGAGATTAATGAATAATAGTTAATTTAATCTTTCAAACGATCAAATCCTCCATTTTTACATGAAATTGCCAAGTAAAATTAACAAATATGATTTAAAAATTTATAACTATTTAATTTTATTATTTAGACTGGATCAGAAATAAAGATTTATCAACAAGAGTTGACTTAAAGTTAAAACAAAGTATATTGAATATTCAAGAATCCGAACGTGAGTACTGTGTTAAGGTAATTAAGTTTAAATTTATAAATTCTATTTAAAAAGACTTTTTAAATTTCAAATAAATGGATAGAATTAATCAGTCTTTAAAAAAATATAAAATTGAAAATTTCCAAATTTATAATGATAAATTAATTTTCCTAATTAAGTTATACAAAAATATCAATTTAATTAATACCAATAATATTTTTATTTCCTTTAAATTGAATAATACAAAAATAAGTACTATAATTCCTAATATTGGAATGACTAACAATTTAATAAGGAATAATAAATTTTCCTTCTTTTTTTTCATCTCCTCAAACCTCGTTGCTCTTTTTTGAAGAGTAAACGTGGATTGAGGAATTACGGTATTAAAATTAAACTCACTTATTAAATCTATGGTTAAATGATAAAAAGATTAAAAATAATTGTTGATTAAATTAATTTAATAATTTCATATGGCAATTTAAAAATATTAAAAATTTTTTTATTAATGAAAAGTTTTACACCAAAGAAATGATATTTAACGATTAAGCAACTGATATTTTTATTAACAATCTCTCAGCTAATCCTACTATTGAATACTTTTAAATCTTGCTAAACTATTTAAGTATTGGAGAAATTATTTAAAACGAAAGCTAGTTAGAAATAATTGAAAAATATTACAACAAGTATTATGACTAACTATCAAATGACTCACACATAAATATGATTTAAGTAATTGTTAATTACTAAATAATGAATTAAAAACCACTAGTTTTACCTAAAAACATCACTTTAAACGAACCAGCATTTTATAAGTTTGTAAACAGAGTTGTTATCGATGGAAAAGAATATTTGATTCCTTACTAAGAAAGCTTTACTCTTTCACACGAACTTCAAGTTCCTTAATTTAAAATATTCCCATGCTCATCGATTAATAGTGAATAAGAATAGAATGAGTAATCTTAAGAAAAATTACCTGAAAGCTAAAGTACTTAAAAGCAACAACACCTTGAAAACATAGAAATTACATAAGATATTTATGAGTATCTCAGATAAATTAGCATGAATAGCTCATATAAATGCTAAGGAAAATCAATAAATCGTTACTATCTTTATCATTTGATTGCAAAGAAAAAATTAAATGAATCTACTTATGCTGAAGAAGAAAGACTTGAGAACGAATTCAAGCAAGCATAAAGAGAAGCTACATTTGCACTCAACAGAAGTGAGGACTACAGTAATTTCTTAGTAGATTTTTCTCTTGCTATTAAGAGCGATGAATTCGAATCCGTTGATTTAAATTACTAAGGTGAAGATACCCAAAAAATAAATATAAATTATGCTATTAGATTTAAAAACTCAAGTAAAAAAATTGGGTTTATTTACGATGACGAAGCTCTTTGCAAGGTCTCAAGCGATGGTTCATAAAAGGAATACCATCTAAGCAGCTAAACTAGAATGAAAATAGAATTATTAGAAAAGCATCATGGTTGGACCATCTATCCAATTTATTATGAAAGATGGTGTTAAACTTTCAACACTTTTGAGGCCAAAGAAAAGTTCATCAAAAAAGTTTTAAATGTACAAGAATTAAATTGAGCAATCAAGTAGGTTAAAAGTTTATTTAATTTAAATGAGAAATTAAAATAATAGTTAAAATATATTTATAAAATGTAAAATTATTTATTGTAATTGTAGTAATTAATTAATAATAAATGTTCTTTTATTAAATATATTTATTTTAGGTTTAATTTTCTTAAATATTTTTTGTTTATTTTACTAAAAAATGAAAAAAAAAATCAATAAATAAATAAATAAAAAATTAGAAGCGCTTTTTATATTTATTTAATTTTACATATAACTTTTTTCTGGAAAATATATTAATTTGTAAAGATAGATATTGAATTTATTAATTCCAATTTTAGTTTTATATTTAAAAACCAAAAGTTAATATTTAAGAAATAGTTAAAAGAAAATTCTAAAATATCATTTGACAAAAGGAGATTGATTATTGGTAGCAAAAATGTTTTCAAGATTTAAAAAAACTTCTGAAGATTAGAATTCTAATGCTTCATAAACAAATTAAGAAGATTTATAAAAGCTTGCAAAAGAACAAAAAGTAAAAATTGCTAATTAATTAATTATGCAAAAATCCATATTAACATTTTTATTCAAGGAATATATAAACAAGGATTTTAAGCAAAGAGTCTAATTGTACTAAATAGATAAATGTTTTAATCAATGCGTGAAGTCTTTTATGGAAAAGTTATTTACTCCTTATGAGAAAGAGTGTTTATAAAATTGCATACAAAATATGGTTGGGTTTGAAATAGAATTTAACAACGCATTAGAGGAAATATGATAATTAAAAAATTAAGCATTTTAAAACTATAAAAATGTACTATTTGGAGTTATTTTATATTAAGATATGTTTAAGTATGTTTTTATTCACTAAAAAATAAAAAGTAGCTTGGTTTTTTTAGAAACAAGCAGATAATTTTATTTATTTATATGTAATTATTGTGATTTTCATATTAAATGTAAGTAGAATAAAAGCTATTTAATTAGATTAATCAATCAATTTAAAGATAAAATAAATAAAAGTAAAATATGTGTGATATACGTTGAGCAAATATTTATATTAAGCTATAGAATTAAAAGATGAATTTAAGTAATGCATTTAATCATAATAAATATCAACTAAAAATAACTGACTAATTAATTAACTAACTAAATGGATTTATTTTATAATATTTTATTTAGAATTATAATAATTTCATATTCAAACGCTCATATTAACTTAAATGTTTTTTGATTTGAATAGAAATATTTAATTTATTCACTTAAAGAATCATCTGTCTTTATCATTGACAAATTCAGCCATTCTAGGAATAACTTTAGGTCTAAGTTTTGTAAAGGCTTCATCTAATTTTTTAATTTCATCATCAACTTATTTCAACTAATCTTCATCTAAATTTTCTTTCATTTTATCACGAATTTCTTTCTGTTTTGTTTTAAATAATATTTATTTTATTTTATTCCAAATATTCTTAATTTAAATAAGGTTAAAACCTTTCTTTGAAGGGCCATTTTAATTTAATCCTCAGCTAAGTGTTGAGTATAAACTTTTTCAGCTAACTTTCTACCATCTTTTATTTAAGCATACAAAATAAGTTAGTATTTATCAAAAAGCAAATTTATAAATCAAAAAAATAAAAAATCTAATTTTTTTTCATTTTTCAAATATTTACAGTGCTAATCTATATACTCCTTGTCTTCTTTATCATAATCATCTTCTGTGAATTCTTAGCCTAATCTCTTTTTATGTCTTTATTCATAATTATAAACAATTTTATTAAATTTTCCAATTTATTGACTTATCGAAAGATCTAAAATAAATTCAATCTATATTCAATTATTTACTGTTTGATTGCTTCATATTTCTTCAAGCTTTTTTCTCTTTTGTAGATTCTATAATTTAAATTTTGGAAAAAAACATTATCTATTAATTTTATTTTGGTGAAAATGAATTAAGTTAATTACTCATAAATGCTATAAGCCATAAAAAGACCACCTACATTAGCAGCAACTTTAATCAATAACCTTGAAAAACTATTAGATGCCATTCACGCTATTATTTATTTGTATAGAATATTTATTTATATATCTACTTTTTTAAGAAATTTTGTATATCTTTAGTAAACAAAAAAATATTAATTAACAACTAAGAAAATATTATTAGACATAAGCAAATTAATTAATCAATAAAATCTAAGTTCTATTTCTGGAAAATAAATTTCAATTATTCGCAATTTCTATTATACATTAGAAAGTAAAAACAAAGCTAATCTGAATTCTACCAAATATTTTATTATTTTAAAATCAAATATAAGATTTATGCATAAAAATTACTTTTAAGCTATTTCTAATTTTTTAAATTAAATTAATTTTCTTTCTTGTTCTTCTGACTTCAATAAATCAATTGAAAATTATTTTATGAAAGAAGTATGTGTAATAGAGCTACTAATTAATTAAGATAAATCTATGAAATTTCAAAAATTCCAAAATTTTAAAATCGCTTTTAAATTATAATTTTTTTGTTTTTAAATTAAATTGACCTTACTTTCTAATTGCAAAGTATTTTACATTTTTATATAACAATATTAAATTATTTGACATATTTTTTAAAAACAAAAATGCATTGATACAGTAAAAACTGCCTGTCATAAAGTGGCCACAGTTCAGACCAAAATTTGAGTCAAATAAAAAGGAGCCAACTTTATCAATCAATCTTTTTATTATGATTTAATTTAATTTAAAAATCTACTAACAATAAAAGAGTGCTCATATTATCAAAGCTCTCTCATTAATAAAGGTTTGACCATATATTCATTATACTTTATAGGTGTTTAGATGAGTTTATTTTTGCTTTTGTCTTAAAATTGTAAAATTTAAATTTAGAAAGAATGCTAAATGTGGAAATGTTTAGATTGCTTCGAGTATAATTTGATTTTATGAATCATGTTCAATAATTAATTAATAAATCATGATTAAAAAGTTGAATGCATTTTATTGTATTGTATTTTGAAAAAGTAGTTTTGAATGATAATATTAAGTTGAAGTATTTCTATAAAAACATTCGTTTAAATAAAATATGATTAATATTTGATATACATCATAAATACTTAAAAATAAAATGAATTATTTTATTTTAATTTAATTTATAAGTTATAATAAAGTATAAAATTTATTTTTCTCAGAAAAGGAGGAATTATTTTCTGACAGAACCAATAATTTCGTTAGGAACAACTTAGAGGGCGTTGAATCTGACGGTTTTGGAGATGGGTCTATTATAATAAACAGAAATTTTAGAATTATATATTTTTTAATTATTTTAATTATTTAGAATATAAATAATTGATTAGTTACCTGCATTGACCAGCAACGAGGATATCACCTTCCTTGACGGAGAAACAGGGGGAGATGTGGACGGGGATGTTTCTGTGTCTCTTTTCATATCTGTTGTATTTTCTGACATAGTGGAGGTAATCTCTTCTGATGATAACGGTTCTGTTCATCTTGGTGGAAATGACTAAACCCCTATAGTTAAAAATAAATTTTTTAATTACAAATTTTAAGGAATTAACTAACTAATTAATTAATTTTAAATATTATCTATATGTAACAATAAAAGATATCCTTCTGCTTATTCTTTGATTTATTCATTCATTTATTAATTTCTACGAGTATTTAATATATTTATATTTTTATTGATAAAAATATGCGATCAGAATTTTAAGTTATAATTGGCATTCTTTCTTTATTCATATATTTGCTTTTTCCTATGATTTCCTTTTATGTTTAAAGCAAAAAAATATTTTTTTTTTGTGCTAATCATTTTTTCTGTTAGGTATCATCATCCATCGATTGATCGGATGCTTTTATTAAGTCATTTTTAAAATACTTAAGTGAATTTCAAAAGCCTAAAAATCAATCTGTATTCATTATATTATTTTTTATATCTATGCTTTAATTTTTTTGAGCTATATACTAGGCTAAATACTTGTTATTGGATAGATATACTGTATTCTATTAAATGTTAATAAAACTATTCAATCCCTTAAATTTTTCAATCCTATTTTTATTTATTTCATATTTGACTCCTTCTATAATAAATGCTTTAGAAGATCGCTTATTATCAAACATATGTGCTACAAAAGCTGAGCGTTAATGAGCAGAAAATATATTTAGAAGCATAATTATTGTTAATATAGATAATTTTGTTTTAGGGTTTTTTAATTTTATATAAACTGTATCATACTTAATGATCTTTCCTCTAATAGAAAGGTTGGAGGTGAAGGGGCACTTCTTATCGACGTAGGTACCTTCAATAGCTTCCTTAGGAGTCTTGAAGCCCAAACCGATGTTCTTGTAGTATCTAACACCAGCAGAAGTCTTCTTAGCCAAAAGCTTCTTAGAGTTTAAGAAAACACCGTCTTGTTTTTAGTAAGCTCTTTGAATCTGTAGAATTATTAAAATGATATTAATTTATTGTTTTAGCGAAATTGAGCATTAAATTGGTAATTTTTCCATTTTCGGTTTTAATTTGGAAAATTTCATTTTTCTCGCGACTAATCATTATTCAATAGAGTAAAATAAATAAATGGCTTAATCTAAAATTGAGCGTAAAATTAATATAGCTGCTTGCTGAATTTGCAATTTAACCTATTTGAAGCGATTTATTTTTTTCATTTTCATTTTATATTTACTCTTTTGAAGTTATAGAGTTAGTCAGCGAGATATTTATAAAAAGAAATTCTAATTTAAAATTAAAAAAGAAAAATATCTCACTTGAGTATCCATTTTGTCTATGATGTAATTTTGTATTCTTTTTTTTCTTTTGTTTTATTACTTTAATTATTTCCTTTTTATTTTTTCTTCTTTGTTTAATTTCTTCAAACTAATTTACTATCTTTCACACTTTTTAAGTTTGCCCTCTTTCTAATTTTATCTAAATACCTATTGATTTACCATGTATTCAAACATACAGGTTCCCTTCATTTCTTCGCTCATTTTTATTTTGACACAGCCAATTAGTCAGTAGTCTATTAATCTATCTGCTACTTGCTTTTGCTTTTATTCATTCATATTTCATTCATTGATTGATTGTTTTTCTATTTAATTGCATATAAACAAACACATAGTAATTAATCTATTCATTTATATCGAATTTTATTAGCAAATTATAATAATAATAATAAAATAAGATTCATATTTATCTTTCTGCATATTTTAAACTCCTCAATATATCTTTTAGAATTAGACTAACTATTCCATTTTTTTATATTTAAATTCATTAATTAATTTTTATTTTTATTTTTTTGAAAAAAATAAATTATTTTACTTAAAAATTATTTAAATTTCAATTAAAAAAGTATTTTTCTTTTTTTTAGTTAATGTAAAAAAATATTTTTTAAAATTTTATCTTTTAATTAATTTATTTTTATTAATTTACAATAAAACGATATGTACAATGCTGCTTTATTTTAATAAATAGTTTAATTTAATTTCAAATGCTATTTGAATCTTCATCAAATGGCTTATAATATTTTCTGAAAGGGTTATTTGTTTTAAAGTCTGGATTACGGAACGACTACCAATAATCTATATTTATATCTGGAAAACTTCTGTAATCATATAAATTGTATTTAGGACCATCTCCTAATCTTTTGTTTTTACTCATTATTGTTTCACTTAAATACAAAAACAGCTCCCAAAACTTACTCTTAAATTATCTAACTATTCCTGGAATCTTCTTGCTCCTATATTTGAAAAAAGTTCAAATTATTTAAAATATTTTTAGAGAAATAATATTGAATACTTTTCTAATTCTACGCTTTCTGCTTTTACGTGATCTATAATTTATTGCATCTTTTGAGATTCTTTTTCGCTATTAAAAATGAACAAATTCATTTCATTGTTGACTCTCCAACTCCACCTATCATTATTAAATGATCCTAATTTTAATAAAGACAAACATTAATTTAATTGTATGCATTTTTTAATTTTATTTTAATAAATTAAACGAATATAAAAAGTATTTATTACCGACTGTGAAATGCTTGTTATCTACCATGTATGTCTTCATGTGTAATAATCTATCTGTAATTTCATATACTTTGCAGCCATGCTCTATTAGATTTTTCATTAAATTTTTATTACTAAGTTTTGCATATGCTGGCTAATCTCTATTTTATGATGTGATTAGCTCTACTTTAACTCCTCTCTTTAAAGCCTTAATAAGAATATCATCGAATTCTTTCATGGGATAATAATAAGGCTGAATCATCACTATATTATCTTGAGCTGAATTTATTTATTTGATAACTTCATTTTAACAATCTTTAACATTAGGCTGATGATTCTTTCTGACCAGAGTTTAGAAATCAACATAGTCACTATCAGGATAAAGTTTTTCTAATATCTAACATGTTTCAATATTCGATTAATTATATTTGTTTAATTATAATCCATATAAATCAGCTGTTTGGCTAATGTGATTTCTAAATCTACTAAGATTCATATTCTTAGACATGTAATTAATGTCATAAAATTCATGAGTACCGTATTTATATCCTCCATAACAATCCTCAATATTAGCACTACCAATGCAAGCATAATTATCAATAACCAAGATTTTCTCATGGTGACGACGGAAAAATTCTTAACTAGGAATATTTTTATACATATGTCTATAAGTAGGATTCAAACTTTTAAATAGACCTCCATACTTTTCAAACTCAGAGAGTAATTATTTATTAACGTGATTTTATAAATCATCAACAAATAAGACAACGTTACATCCTCTTTTACAAGCTTCAATCATTTTTAAGAAAGTAGTATTAGCTGTTTCAGAGTTATTAAATGCATATGTTAGCATCCACACATAGGTCTGTAATATAATAAATAAAAATTTATGAATATATAATTCCTTTTATTCCCAAAATATAGTTAAGTTATATTTTAAATAATATAATTTGCATTTTTTGTTTTTGTCATTATGTCAATTATATTTTAATTACCATACCTTAGCTTAATCTATTTCATACCATATTTTTTTGAAAAATTCATCACCTATTTATTTTGAAATTTAATTAAACATTTTATCTCTTTAAAACTTTATAATACCTTCTAGTACCATTTCAGATTTAGGAAATAGCACATCTTCCATTTTATATTCATTCTTATAAAACTTTTAAAATATATTTTTGGCGCTTTTATGAAAATCACTATTTAAGAAATCTAAATTTATATCTTAACTCATTTTTATTTGCTTTGTTAATTTTTGTTCAACTAATTTGATAAATTAATTTAATTATCAGACTTTAGAATTTTCTACAAAAGGTAGATCTTGAATTATCAAAAGCTTATTAATTTCTAGGTTATTTTTGTAATTTATAATCAATTTATATTTTACATTTAAAAGTTACTCTTATCAATTAAATAAAAATATAGGGGGTTGGGGTTGGGGTTGGGGTTGGGGTTGGGGTTGGGGTTGGGGTTGGGGTTGGGGTTGGGGTTGGGGTTGGGGTTGGGGTTGGGGTTGGGGTTGGGGTTGGGGTTGGGGTTGGGGTTGGGGTTGGGGTTGGGGTTGGGGTTGGGGTTGGGGTTGGGGTTGGGGTTGGGGTTGGGGTTGGGGTTGGGGTTGGGGTTGG